TCCTAACTAGCAAATGTTTTTTATTAGCTCGCAATTTTTTTCAAAACTACTTCAATGAGGAAAAAAATAAAAATTTGGAATATCTGTACATGAGGGGCTAATTGATCGGATCTCATAGTTCCGAGATAATCGCGAAAAACGAAACTGCCAAAAAAAATTAATTTAATTCATCTTGTACAAGGCCTAGGAAGTGGAAAAACGCAATTCTGANAAGTGGAAAAACGCAATCCTGATGTATAAAAATACAACTGCGTGAAACACACAGGCGTATCAAAATGCAACTGCGTGAAACACACAGGTGTATAAAAATACAACTGCGTGAAACACAGGGTTGTATAAAAATTCAACTGCGTGAAACACACAGTAGTATAAAACTTCAACTGCGTGAAACACACAGTAGTATGAAACTTCAACTGCGTGAAATACACAGAAGTATGAAAATTCGGCTGCATGAAACACACAAACTTCACGCATGCGTGGAGTGTATGGAGTGTACGGGAGTGATTCACGCAATGGTGCGAATAGTCACGGCCAAAAATTTGTAACAGTGAATTCAGTAGCGAAGTGGTAAAACGGTTCAAGTCGACTTATCTCTTAGTTGAGTCCTTGCAGAGTATCTTCGAATCTAAAGAAGCTAATGAAATTTTCGTAATAACCTTTTCTCTAGAGCAAATTGAGTGCTACAAAAAAGGTTTAGACAAAAAATTAGCTATCTGCCTTAGATTCCGAGATATTCACTAAAAACTGGCCAATAGTCAAAATCGACTTGAACCGTTTTCCAATTTTCTTGGGGACGATGTGACTACGTAATTTGTGAATTCTGGCGTACAATCGATGGAGAAGGGTCTACTGTGTTATGCTCGAGCTATACTCCTGAAATCGTCGTATTTCGAAGAAAAATTGAGCAGGATATCGAAAGCAACTCATGGAGGGGTTCCCTGCAAGTGGAAGATTGAAAAATGAGAAAATTTTTCGCATTTTCGAAAATGCAGGGGCTCTGGGAGTGAGTGGGTTTGAGGGAAGTGTCAAGATCTGTTCTCCCTCTCAATAAAAAACAAAAAATAAAATGAATAAATGAAAAAGTTTATGAATTGTTTCATTAAAAAAAAACAAATCGCAAAATCTCTTGGAAAATCGTTTTCTTTTGACACTTTTATAAAAGAAAAATTGAATTGTCTCCTTCACAAATTTTTATTTAATCCTCAACATGTCTTTGATCTTATGAAATATTTCTGTTGCCAATTCCTCCCGGTTTCCCCTGTTCACTTCGATGACGTGACAACTCGGGTCTTCATAAAATTTATCGAAGAATTTTGAGTGTCGTTGGGGCTCTCGATCCCTCGCGGGGACAGTGGCAATTATTATCCTCTGGGGTTCATTGCTCTTCCCGAAGAACAAATTGTCCACGAGATTGTGGAAGGGTTTACTGAATAATTCCATCTTTCCAATTTCGTCGATCACGAGAACGTCCTGAACATGAAGTAACTAGATTATTTTTAATCATTTCGTTTCTTAACAATACCATCAAGAGTTAATTTATTCATCTTTGAAAATATTAATTAATAATCAAGTTATGCAGGGGATTTTCCATTCTTACAGATGTGGAATTTAATGTTGGCAATGCAATCCTCTCAAAATCATCGATGAACACTTGATATGGACCAACTCGAAGTTTTGATGGAGATTTTCCATTCAGCGCAGAACTGAAACAAGAATTTACATGAGTTTAACAACAATTTTGAAATGTTGAGAACCGAAAATGAAGAATTACTCACTCAATTCGAGCTAGAATCCCCCTCGTTTCGGTTTTATCGAACGTCGAAATGTCAAAACCGATTCTTTTACGATCTTTCGACCTCACTTCCTCAGTATAAAACCCGGAAATTTTTGTGTTACATCCCGTGAGCATCGAAATTATTTTCTTGCAGAGAGTAGTCTTCCCAATGCCTGAAATAAAAATTCAAATTTTTTCTGGATAGGGGTCATTTGGTCCAAAAACAATTCGTCCAATGACATTTCGTCCAAAAATTCATTTCGCCCAAAAATCACTAGGTCTAGAAATCATTTCGTCCAATGAGTAATACGTCCAATTCGGCCCAGATTAAACGGCATAAACACACCATAAACACAGGTAAATACAAACACAAACCCGAGAAACTCAAAACCAATTACCCATTGATAACGACACCAAACCAGATTCACGTACACGCGAGCAACGTACAAACCCACTTGAAATGTTGAAAAAAAATCCCTACATAATTTCCCATTTCCCAAAATAATCCGCATTTTTTGGGACCAAAATTACATTGGACAAAGAAAATATTGGACTAAAGAATGATTGGACGAAATAAGATTGGACCAAAAACTTCATTGAACGAACTGACGTTGGACGAAAAGAGATTGAACCAAAAGATTTTGGACCAAACGTACTGGAGCCATTTTTTCTAGATAATATAATGAAGAATGATAAACGATGATAAGCTCACCTGGTGGACCAGTGAAGAGTATTTTTCTCATCGCACTCCCAGAATCTGTCATCTCGGTGCATAAAAACAAAGGGAAATTTTTGGAAATAGTGCTTCAGCTATTATCAACCCTTAAATATCCCGCAGAACTCTGAAAATAAGGATATTTAATTCTTTTCACATGAAAATCGAGTGAAAATACTATTAAAAATAAGACTGAAATGCGATTTTTAGGTAATATTTTCAAGTTTTTTTGTTCGATTTTTTTTTAATGACAAGAAAAGAAAAATTGGTGGGAAAACATCATGTCAAGGAAGTCCTATACAACAATTATCAATAGAAAACGTTAAAAAATGAAATTCTATAGATTTTTTTCTGTAATATATTTTATTCATCTACAAAATCATAAAATAATTTTTTTTTATTTTTTTTCATTTTTTTTTACTATTCATTATTACTTTTATGATGAATAAATTATTTCTACACATGAAATCTGTGGAATTTGTGTAGAATCTATAGAATTTCCTCGATACAAATTGTCAAAGTTTATTTGTTTGGTTCTTCAAATGGCAAGAGAAGGAAAACAGAGTCTAAAAAAATCATGCTTATGAATTCCTATAGAAAATTTCTCAATAAAAAAAGTTCTATCGAATTCGCTAGAAAATTCTAATGGATTTCTATGAAACTCTATTAGTTTCTTGACCGATTCTATTGAAAAATTCCACAGGTCATCTCCACTTTTTTGTACAATAGAAATACTCGCTAGAAAATATTCTACAGAAAAAAAATTATATCCTAGAGAATTTCTACAGAATCTATAGAAATTCCTCGGCTCAAATTTCCAAAGTTTACTTGTTAGATGCTTCAAATGGGAACAGAAGGAAAACAGACCTTAAAAAATCATGCCCATGAATTTCTACAGAAAATTTCTCAATACCAAAAGTTCTAGGGGAGGGTGGGGTAAAACGGACGCTTTAGACTTTTTTAAAATTATTCATAACTCAGAAATAAATTGATCAATTGAGCTCAGTTTAGGCTCGTCACAAAGGGAAAGAATAGTTCTTTGTATTGAGAAAAAAAAATATTAAATTTGATCAACATTTCAACCCCTCATCAGCATTTTAAAAAAAGTCAAAAGTGTCCGTTTTACCCCAACCTCCCCTACAGAAAATAGACTTCTACTAATTTTTTCTATAAAACAGTTTCCACCGACATTTTTTCAAAAACAGCTCAAAAATTCTCTGCAATCCGCAATCTCCCCCAGCAATGCAATTCCCCTAAAAACGTGAACTCTCGAATTCCCCCAAATTGTCCACAAAATTAAAAAAACCGTCTCTTAAAAATCGTACTTGCCCCGTATTTCCATGAAGCTCCCCCGACCCAACCGCCCCGTTCTACCCATAACCACAACAAACTCGCTCCTCCCACGTTGCACGCACCGAAACAACGTCGATCAGCTGACTGCTGTCGTGTCGGTTCCGTTTCAGTTTTTCCGTTGCGTCTGCCAAATCCCCCAAAACCCTGCACCCCAAGCCCTTAAAAACCGATCAAAACGTGCGTGAAATGTTTCGAATGTTCCCGAGCTCTCTCCGGCCTCTGTGAACCCCAAAAAAAAATCACCAGGCCCTCGGTTTTCGCGACTCGTTGTCCGCCCACCACCGGAGGAAAAAAAATCATGAGAGGCCCTCGGGAGAACCCCTCGCCCTCGATTTAACCCCGAAAGCGAATATTCTCGTCGCGCTTACGATTCCCTCGCGGTCAAGATGAAGAAGATGGTGAGACCGTCGTACTCTAACCCCATAAGCTGCTTCCTCTCGCGTCAAGTAGAGGACAGAGTGGACTACTGCAAGCGTTTGGTCGACGAGAGGCTCGACAAATCGAAAAACCTGTTCAGAAAGGACTTGCTGTCGCACTACGGCTGTGTCAATGCCATTGAGTTCCTCAAGGATGGCGATCTGATTGTCTCTGGGGGCGATGACAGGCGAGTGCTCCTGTGGAAGGTCCAGCAAGCCCTCCAGGGGGTCGGACCGCCCGTGGCCATGAGGGCACACCATGGCAGCAACATCTTCTGTCTGGGGTACGACAGCAGCAACTCAAAAATATTCTCAGCTGGCAACGACGATCAGGTCATTGTCCACGACATGGAGACTGGCGATCCTGTGGACTTTTTTCTGCACGAGAAACCGGTGTATGGGCTCAGCATTCATCCGGTGAATGATCATGTTTTCGCGAGTGCCTGTGACGATGGGAGGGTTCTGGTTTATGATATCAGGGAGCCCAGTGGGCATGAGCCTTTCTGCTTGGCGCAGTACAAGACACCTTTTCATTCGGTCATGTTTAACCCGGTGGAGCCCAGGACACTGGCCACTGCCAATGCTGAGGAGGGGGTCAGCCTGTGGGATGTCAGGAAACCTTTGGAGTAAGTTGATGTTATTTATAGGAGAGGGGGATACGGCCCCTTTTGATTTTTTCAAAAATGTTGAGGCCCGGGTGTACTATCGTTCGAATGTTTTCTGGATTTCATTTATCTTTCGTAATCCAACATTTTCAATTGAGTGGTACATCGTGTAGGGATTCCCAAAAATTATGATAGGATGATGAAAAAAAATTGAAAAATTTTTGAAGTTTTTCAAAGAGCGTTTTTAATGGAGATTCAGAATGAGTTAAAAAAGTGGAAATTACAAATATTTGATTCGCTGTGGCAAATTATCTATTAGCTGTCATTTTCCAGGGCGGATAACAAAACACTAACTCCTCATGGGAAGTGACAGCTAGGTATCTCAATTTTCAAAACAGTGGTATGTAGTCGTCTGCCATTTTTATGTGATAAAAGTGTGATTAAAAAATTCTCCAAAATATTACAACTTTTTTCAAAGAGCCTTTTCCGTAATAAATGTCTCTGTGCAGTGTGGGAAAAGATTTACGAAATCAGTCTTCCCCCTGCATGATATTAGGTGACAGGCCGCCATTTGTCACCGTACATCAGATACATTTTTTAATTTCTTGTTATTCAACTTATTCTGATTATAAATTTAAAATGCTCTTTGAAAAAATGAAGAATTTTTTCTATTTTTTCTTGATTATTCATTCATAATTTTTCAAAACTTCTGCATGATCCAGGACTTAAGGCCCAGGTGTACTATCGTTCGAATGTTATCTGGATTTTTTTATCTTTCGTAATCCAACATTGTCAATTGAGTGGTACATCGTGTAGAAATTCCCAAAAATTATGATAGAATGATGAAAAAATAGAAAAAATTCTGAACTTCTTCAAAGAGCGTTTTTAATTGAGATTCAGAATGAGTTAAAAAAGTGAAAATTACAAATATTTGATTCGCTGTGGCAAATTATCTATTAGCTGTCATTTTCCAGGGCGGATAACAAAACACTAACTCCTCATGGGAAGTGACAGCTAGGTATCTCAATTTTCAAAACAGTGGTATGTAGTCATCTGCCATTTTTATGTGATAAAAGTGTGATTAAAAAATTCTCCAATGTACATTCTCCATGTACATCAGATACATTTTTTAATTTCTTGTTATTCAACTTATTCTGATTATAAATTAAAAATGCTCTTTGAAAAAATTAAGAATTCCTTCTACTTTTTTTTTATTATTCATTCATAATTTTTCAAAACTTATGCATGATGCAGGATTTGATTGACAATTTCAGACGACGAAAGATGAAAAAAAACATGGAGATAACGGTCGAAAGATAGTACACCCGGGCCTTAATAAAAAATCTAATAAATAACATATTTTGTTATTCCAGGCCAGTTTTGCGTTACGGATTCGATGGACCAACTCAGAGTTGCATGAATGTCAGGTTCAACTCGGCTGGAACGAGATTGCTGGCATTGAAACGGAGATTACCCCCTGTTTTATACGGAGTCGATTCCCCCGCAGTTCTGTGTCATTTTGATCAGCCTGGGTACTACAACAGCTGCACCATGAAGTCCTGTTGTTTCGCTGGGAGAGATGAGTCTTATGTTCTGTCAGGTATTTTCATAATTTCTAATGCATATTTTGTAATCCCTAATCACTAATACATTCTTCAGTTCGACGTAATTATTCAATTCGATTTAGTAAAAGAGGAAAAAATCAATCATTTTATTTCTTGAAAAAAATTACATCACAAAGTTGCCTTTGTCTTAATAACGAATGTCAGCAGAAAAATGTCAATTCTTTTTTGTGGTCTATTGTAGGCTCTGACGACTTCAACCTCTACGTATGGAAAATACCAAAGGACGACGTGACCTGGGTGGAGTCTGCTCACATGATACTGCGCGGACACAGGTCAATAGTCAATCACGTTCGATACAATCCGAGGCACTGCATCCTCGCGTCGTCTGGGGTTGAGAAAATTATCAAAGTGTGGAGTCCATTCTCGCTCGGAAAGGGATGCATGGGAGGGCTCAGAGTAAGTAAAACCCCCAGAAAAACAAATTAAAACAGACTTTTCCTAAAATTAATTTCTCCTTTCTCTTAAACATGCAGTTATTTCAGCAATGAGTGATTTTAGGAGAAAATAGCAGAATACATTTTTTCAGAGAATTAAATTCTCCACAAAAAGTTTCTTATGACATTTTCGCGTAAATTGACTCAGTACTGAGATAATTCGTCTTGAAGTTGAATCATTTCTTCTTTTATTAAAAAAAAGTGAATGAATTTATCAAAAAAAAAAAATAAATCAACTAATTAAATTGATAAATTATTTTTTTTCCCCAGCAATCAGATGGCAAACTGGAGAAACAACGTCGTGTCTTCACCCACGAGGAGTACCTCCGGCTGGTCCTCCAGAGTGGTCAAATAATGACCCACGACTACAGCCACCAGTCCACAAAAGAAGACCCCAGAATGATGGCCTTCTTCGACAATCTGGTGCAGCGTGAGATCGAGGGTTGGGGCTCTGAGGACACCCCCTCGACCCACAGGAGTCCCAGTGACTCTGAAAACACTCCCTCAAACGATCGACATCATAATGGAACAGATTCTGATGGTAAAAACCGTTATTTTCTCTCAAAAATTATTTTTATTCACTTCATGATTTTTATTACAAACTTTCATCATTATTCATTTATTTTTATTAATCATCCATTCATTGTTATTCATAATTCCTAAATTTTTACTAACTATTCATTTATTTTTATTCATTATTCATTAATTTTTATTAATTATCCACTCATTTTTATTCATTATTCACTAATTTTTACTAATTATCCACTCATTGATATTCAGTAATCATTAATTTTTATTAATTACCCATTCATTTTAATTAAAATCAAAAACCCATTCATTTTGATTAAAATCAATAACCCATCAATTTTTATTCATTATTGACTATCAATTATTTTTCCTAAAAATAGAATAATCTATCGTCTCCCCAAACCCCTGAAGACTAAAAAAACTTCTTCCTGTCCCCCTAGACTCAACAGCCTCAGACACCCACTTAATGCGCAGTGTCCTTGGCGCAAAAACCTGCTCAAGAGACACATCGAGTGGTGGAGTGGCCCCAGAGCGTCCCTTCGGCTCTCCAAACCGCATAACCAGGCTAATCCGCAGCTGTCGTGACAAACTCCTGCGCCTGGCAGCCCTGGAGAACGGGTCAATAGCCAGCAGAACCCAGAAATTCCTCCACAAGTCCAAGGAGCACTCCTCAGGACCCATCAGTGACTCCGAGGAGAGCTCTCCCCCTCCAAAAACCACCCTGAAACTGCGATTGAAAGGGGTAAAACGAAAGCAGAGCAGAGTATCGAGCTGCAGGAGTAAAATAAGAAGGAAATGCTCGATTCCGAAGGCTCAGAGTGACTCTGACTGCGATTTGGAGCCCCTCCCAGGGCCGAATCGAAGGAAAAACGAGGGGGATGAGGTTGTGGACACGACCCAACCCAGCACGAGCACTGGGGTCAGCTCCAGGGGCACCAGGTGGTCCAGGAAATTGTCTGGGGACAGCGATCCTGGCGGCTCGAACGTCAGCAGTGACGAGGAGACAACAGTGAGGAAACAGAGTGGGGCTGATGGGTCTGGCTCCAACAAACGCCCTGGCAGGTGCAAAGGCGGGGGTGAGGGACGTGGAGGTGGGGTCAATGGGGCTAGGAACGATGTGACTCCTCTCAAGAGGGTCAGGAAGGTGCCTCCAACGCCGGACAGTGGCATTCAGTCTGGGCTGTCCACTCTGGAGAAGTCCAGGTGCAATGGCAATGGCGGGAGCTCTGACGAGAGGAGCCCGCAGAGCATTGAGAGGTTCAGGAAGAGGGTCGACTCCGCCAGGAGGGGCTACAGGAAGAGGGCCAGGCTGGAGGAGAGTGCCAGCGATTCTTCGGATTGAGAATGTCATTTTGATTAATTACTTGCTCCCTTTTTTGCCATGTGTTGGAAATCGTTTTGTTGGATTTAGTTGGTCGATACTTTACAAGTTTGTGCAGCTGAATGTTGCGGACAGAAAGGATGAGCGTTAGAGATTCTAGGAAATAAGTTTGTGAGAATCAAAGGGGGATGAGGAAGTGATGGTGATATTTGACGAGGTGTTTTTTTTCTAATCTGGTTGAGTTGGGGCCAGGGTGGATTATTTTTGAAACGTTATCTTGATTGTTTTTTTTATTTTTATTGGGTGAAGTGATCTCCAATTGTCATTCAGTTTTACATATAGTCCAACCAAAACTTCTTTTATTGCATGAACTTAGTTTCAGGTAACGAATTTTTATGGTTTCTATTGTCAAATTGTTGATTTGTCAATGAAAACAAAGGAAAACCATTTTTTCCAAAGGGAAAATAAATGTTGGCCCGACTATAGCCCTGGAGCCTCCAAAAATTATGATTGTACAATCAAAGAAACGTTGGAAGATACCTGAACATTTTCAAAGAGCGGTTTTGAAGAATATTGGGAAATAAAGCCAATAGGGAGGAAATTGCAAATTAATAATTTGATGGATCTAATGGCTGTTAGGGCGTCATTTGTCATAGTAGTCAATGGCTGTCAGATCGTTAGTTACCATGGTAAATTATCCATTCGCTATTTCCTCTCTATCGGACTTATTTCTTAATCTTTATTAAAAAAACGCTCTTTGAAAATGTTCAGTTTTTTTTCTACTTTTTTTGATTGTACAATCAGAATTTTTGGGGACTCCTGCGTGATGTCAAATCCAATGGAAATTGGGATATATTTTACATTATGAAAATGGAAAAACAATCGAGATAACGTTCGAAGGATTCACCCGGGCCTTAAAGGATTTTTTCATTTGAATAGAAAATGTGGAAGAGGTGACACAGATTTGATTTCTCTTGTACTTTGTTTTAGGTATATCTCAAACAGGAGTGCATTTAGAGATATTTCAGAGAAAACATGTTTTGTGGGGAATTTCGCGGCCTACAAAAAAGGTTTCTTAGTATTTTTCGATAAACCTCGTGGTTCGGGCGATATTTGCCAAATGAGGGAGAGGAAATTTCAAGATTTTCGAGGGAGTTTAGTAATCGCATTGTAAATATTAATAACTATGCTGAATTCGATATTTTTTGGAAGAGAGCATTACTTGCTCCATTTTTTTTACCAATCATTACCAGTCGGGAATAAAAAAATTTGCGAGAATCAAATGGTGATGAGCAAGATTATGATGATATTTGATGAGATGTTCTCTCTCTCATTTGTTTGAGTTACAATTTTTTTTTCATTTGAATGGAAAATGTGGAAGAGGTGACACAGCTGTGATTTCTCTTGTACTTTGTTTTGGGAATATCTCCAGCAGGATTGCATTTACAGATATTTCAGAGAAAACATTTTTTGTGGGAAATTTTGCGGGCTACAAAAAAGGTTTCTTAGTGTTTCTCGATAAACCTCGTGATTCGGGCGATATTCGCAAAATAAGGAAGAGGAAATTTCAGGATTTTCGAGGGAGTTTAGTGATCGCATTGTAAATATAAACAACCATGCGGAATTCGATATTTTTTGGAAGATGAATTAAGTTCCAGATTTATTACTCTGTATTTCTGAAGTGGCCAGTGAAGGCAGCATTTCGCAAACATTCGAGAACTAGTGGATTTAGAAAAAAGGTCTCTTGACATTTTTCTAAATCTTCTTCAGATATTCGCGAAATTCGTCCGCAGGAACCACTTCACTACCGACTATTCGTTGCAACTTCCATTACCTGTTTTATAATTCTTTTTTCATAATTAATAGAGTTCAATTGCCAATTAACGATTAATTAAAAATAAGTTGATATTGCGTTGTTAAGTGATAATTGGTACAATTCAATTGAATTCGAAGACTTTTCCTAGGCTTAATCCTCATTTTATGGTGTGAAAAAAAAATAAGTCTGAGACACTCGTGATTAGTCAACTCGATTAATTACCCCAGCACGAAGTAGTTATCATAAACTCAATGAACATGTGATTCACCTCGTGTGCATGGCTGATCAGTGTTCCATAATTCATTGATTTGTGTAACTTTGGATTGTTTGATGGCGATACATTATTTTTTTGATTATTGCTACTCGTTGGTTAAGTGATTATATATTTATACGTCATTTATTGATTGAATAATTGAATAAATAATTTGAAGAAGAAAAATTGCAGATTGTTGATAAAGCGATTGGCAGAAATAACGAATTTCCTTTTAAAAAAACATAATCGTGTGGTTTCCTGCAAACCACATTCTCCCTCCAGCTCCAAATCGTCTTATCGTTTCTTCGTAGTGGCTCTATTTTGGAACATTTCCTCATTCTTGCAAAAATGTTCTACTGCAGAGTGAATGTCTCCATAATTTCCCTTGAATTTTAATTAACTGCGACCCCCAGAATCTCAAATTTCATTCGAACTTATCTCTGTACATACTTTTGAATAAAAATGCTCCACTGGACAGTGAATATTTCCATAATTTTATTAATCTCTTGTGTTGATATTGGGGCATACAATTTGGACACAAAAAGTGCAGTTGTCTTCAGTGATCCCAATGCAGGATTTTACAGAAAAGGAAGTTACTTTGGATACGCTGTTGCACTTTATGCGAGCACTTCTGATCCTCTGGTGATCGTTGGTGCACCCAGGGCCAATGTCAGTAGATTATTAGGGATCAGAGAACCTGGTGCTGTTTATTATTGTCGATTGAGTGGTCATTGCAAAGAATGGCCACTCGATAATTCTAGAAATGGTGGACTTCATGGAATCGAAGGGATTGATCAGATGATCGATGAGTCATGGATCGGTGCTACTATTTCTGTGGAAAATAAACCACAGCCCAGAGTCGTGGTACGTCAAAAACAATCTCACCAACACCTCAATCGATTAATTATTGTTTTATTGAATCAATTGAGTTTTCAATTCGCCTCCTGTTAAGGAGAGAAATTGAAAAATTGAAACACTTTAATTACGACATTTTACGATGAAACAAAGAGCTCGAAGAATTGGGGAAAAGTAATTTGTCGCTTTTGCTCTGATGATTGAGAGTTTAGTTGACATTTCTGTGCTGGAAAATATTTTTCATCGCTTTGTTTTTCAAGGTTTGCGCTCCGAGGTGGAAGAACGTGCGCAAGGGGAATGTCAATGGGATCGAGCGAAATGACTTTTTCCAGAAGATGAATGGCATTTGTTACTACACAATTGTGAAGTCTCCGGGTGATTTTGAAAAACCTGTGAGGAAATTTATTACGGATTTGACAGCTGCAAACCAGCAGACTAGGTGGATCTTCGAAGTGGCAACCATGGGGTTTTCTCTCCACGAATTTTCGAATGAGTCTGTGTGGAACATTATGATTGGAGCTCCTGGGTGCTACGGCTGGTCAGGGACCCCTCTGTTGGTTTCTGAAAACCCCCTGGGGGAACTGAGTTCACTGATACCTTACACACACCCGTATTGGTACACATACAGCGGTAATGGCTTTACGAATAAATTTTGAGGGAAACCTGCACCTCTCGATGGACTGATACTCTTCATTCTAGGGTACAGCGTGACCTCTGGCTTCTACTTCGACGACAAGAGGAGATGGTACGTCGCCTCGGCCCCCCAGGTCGACGAGACGAACGGAAAAATCGCAATTTTCCAGTATAACGGGAACAATCTTTTGCAAGAAGTGAAGACTGTTATGGGCAGGCAGTATGGAGAGTACTTCGGGGCCTCAGTGACCTCCTGCGACGTTGATAACGATGGGAGAGATGATCTGATCGTTGGAGCTCCATCGTGGAGCATGAATGGAGACGAGGGGCGGGTTTATATTATTTCAGCGAGAAAAAATTCAAATGTAACTCTATTTTTATTGACATTAGTTTCTATTCGAAGTGCTTCGCTTAAATGATGGTGAGTGCATCGAGTTCGAGGGGAATAATTTGTTTTTATGGTTCAGGGGTTTGACACGACTTGGATCGATGGAAAATTCGAGGGAGCTCGATTTGGATCGAGCGTTGTCTGTCTAGGTGACCTGGATCACGATGGCTATGGAGATGTTGCTGTTGGGGCACCGTACGAGGATAAATCCGGTGCTGTTTATATTTTCAACGGTGGTCGTTACGGATTATCTAGAGAGCCAAGTCAAAAGATCCTTGGCAAGGATTTTGGGGGGCTGAGTGGCTTTGGAATCGCCATTTCAGAACCCAGGGATGTCGATGGAAATGGCTATCCTGATGTTGCTGTTGGAGCTTACAGATCTGGCCACACTTTGCTCTTTCGAGCTCAACCAGTCGTTAAAGTGAATATTAGTTTGAATTACGTCGACTCTGCGAGGTTCAACAGTAACACTACCAAGTTTTCTGTTAGATTCTGTGGGTATTACGATGGACACAGAGCACCTGAGGCTCTGAGTAAGTCACGAAAAATGTTCTGTTTCAACTGCACGTTGTTCTTTCCATCTTACAAATTTTCCTGAGAATTTGACTCTGTTATTTTCGTATTTTTGAACTTTAGGGGTGAAGAGAATTTTCAGGGTGGATGAGGCCCACCATCGGGCGAGGCTGGACACACAGGCGACTAGTAATGGAACTTACGAGCTCGAAAGTGCTCTTCAGCGTGGCAAGAACACTTGTGATGACATTCCAATACACTTGAAGGTGAGTCGATGAATATTTTTGACAGAACGTCATCGAACAACTCGTTACAATTCTGTCCTCAATTCAGGACGAAACTAAAACATATCCGATCGTCATATCCGCGTCACTGGTCCTGATGAATGACTCAACAATAATCAGGAAGGAAGGCTCAACAATCGAGCAGACAATTTCCCTCAACTTCGAGCTCGACTGCGGGCCAGACGATATTTGCCACTCGAATTTAACAACAAACGTCTCGACAACTCTTGGAAAAGGGAACAAGTACATCATTGGGGGAGAAAAAACAGTGAACATTTCGATAGAGGTTCGAAATCATCAGGAGCCTGCATACGACACCCAACTGCACGTATTTTTACCGGAATTTCTCTCCTTGACAAGGGAACCTGCCAATTGCGAAGAGAATTTTTTCCCGAATGGGTCTGTAGAGGTGGTTTGGAATATTGAAAATCCATTGAGACGTCAGGTAATTTCAGACAATCAAGCCTGAAGGAAAATTCCAGAACTGGCAGCAGTGAATTAAAATTATAAGTCTTCATCAATTCTCAAGACTTGGCTCTGAGCTGAGTTTTTGAGGAATATCTCGGAATCTAAGGGAGATAGTGAAATTCTCGTAACGACCTTTTTCGTGGCTCTCAGTTCGCTCTACAAAAAAGGTTCTCACAAAAATTTTGCTATCTGCCTTAGATCCCGAGATATTCACTGAAAACTGACTAGTAGTCAAAATCGATTTGAATTGTTTTATCGCTTCGTTACTGAATTAATTAATAAGTCAAGTGTTCATCAATTTTTCCTCGTTCCAGGCTACGTTAACACTCGAAATATCCATGCGTCAAGTTCAAGTTGAGTCAGAGCTTTATTCCGACTCGATAGAAATACCAATGAGTCTCACAACTCAAAGTGAAAATATCAACGACAAAAAAGGGGTTGATAGCGTGATTATTAATCTTGCGATTGACGCCACCGTCGATGTTAACGGGTAGGTCACAATGTGAATGATCAAAAACGCGAATAAATATCTGATCACCTGAAATTAATTTCAGACAAGCGAAGGACACTTCTTATTCGTACTTCAGCGCCTCGGAGGAGAGCAAAATCGAGATTATCCAGTTCAGTCACATTTACGGAGTCCAAAAACTGGGAGTAACTCCGATTCAACAAGCTGTTCTGATTGTCCTCGTGCCCACGCACTTGAAAAAATCAAAAAATGAAGTAATCGAAATAGCGAGGATAAACGCAACAACATTGAAGTACTTTGACTCAACAAATCGAAATGACAATGACTACGTTTGCAAAACCGAAAGAATTGGAGTGAATGAGAAGAAAATTATTACGAGGGAGTCGAATAATTTCACACAGTCTGTAGACACTTCTTTGAGGAATCGTGCGTTATTTCTCAACTGCGATAATGATGCAATTGATTGTGTTAATGTCACGTGTCTCATGGACGTGCCAAGAGAATCTGTTAATCCCTCTGTAATCGCAGAATTGAAATTGACGATTGATTTGTTGTTGAAAAACGTCCCTGGTGAGTCAATAATCAGTTGACCAAGAGTGACGATCAATTGAATTGACGAAATAATTTCAAAAAAAAATATTTTTCACATGACAGATGATTTAACGACTTCGAAAGACATTATATATTTCATATCAAACGGATCAGTGATGATTACTCATCCATCGCGAGCTAGTGAAGCGTCTGGAGTGAGGGCAAAATCAACCCTCGTTGGCACTAAATTCCTGGGCACACCTGTAGCAGCTCCAGTAGCCAGCTGGGTAATTCCTGTCTCGGTGCTCGTTGGAATTCATCTGCTAGCACTTGTGATATTCGCTCTTGTCAAACTGGGATTTTTCAAGAGAAAACACAAAGAGGAATTGGAGGAACTCAAGGCAGACTCCGACGTAAGTGAACACAAACATTTGCCAATTGATTGACTATGGGAATAAGTTGAATTATTCATTTCTCGTTCTTTCGTTCTTTCTAATGTTCACAAGGACAACATCATCGTATTCTCAATTGTGCTTCATATCATGACTCACTTCCTCATTTGAATGAGCGATAGGAATAATCATTTTTGGGTTTATTTCCAGAAGAAAGAGGGCATGGTCATTGAGACTTCATCGTCAAGGGAGTGCCTCGATCAGGATTGATCTGAGCCAATTAAAAAATTATTCAAAAATCCTTAGGATAATTAATTCCCCGGAATGATATCCCGAATAAAACCGTTGTATCATCTGAGAAACATAATTTTAATGATTCGATGACACACTGATGTGTCATCGAGCCCGCGAAAAAAGAGAGGCAAATACTATACTATGACAGCGTCAAACCTGCCTTATTTAATGACGCTCTCTCTTCTCTGTAAACATAGTCAGTGTTCAATGATGTAAGCCTTTGGTTTTCAGCGAGACTCACATCCTTCCTGCGCCCAGTGAACAGCTCATTTCAATCTTGCATTAGTATCTCAATGAAGTGGCATCGTGTCACCTCCAGAGTCTCTCAGGTTTCATTCAACCATATCTCTGTACATACTCTTGAATAAAAATGCTCCACTGGACAGTGAATTTTTCCATAATTTTATTAATCTCTTGTGTTGATATTGGGGCATACAATTTGGACACAAAAAGTGCAGTTGTCTTCAGTGATCCCAATGCAGGATTTTACAGAAAAGGAAGTTACTTTGGATACGCTGTTGCACTTTATGCGAGCACTTCTGATCCTCTGGTGATCGTTGGTGCACCCAGGGCCAATGTCAGTAGATTATTAGGGATCAGAGAACCTGGTGCTGTTTATTATTGTCGACTGAGTGGTCATTGCAAAGAATGGCCACTCGATAATTCTAGAAATGGTGGACTTCATGGAATCGAAGGGATTGATCAGATGATCGATGAGTCATGGATCGGTGCTACTATTTCTGTGGAAAATAAACCACAGCCCAGAGTCGTGGTACGTCAAAAACAATCTCACCAACACCTCAATCGATTAATTATTGTTTTATTGAATCAATTGAGTTTTCAATTCGCCTCCTGTTGAGGAGAGAAATTGAAAAATTGAAACACTTTAATTACGACATTTTACGATGAAACAAAGAGCTCGAAGGATTGGGGGAAAGTAATCTGTCGCTTTTGTTCTAATGATTGAGAGTTTAGTTGACATTTCTGTGCTGGAAAATATTTTTTATCGCTTTGTTTTTCAAGGTTTGCGCTCCGAGGTGGAAGAATATTCTGTGGGGCACTCCGTTCATGAATGGTATCTGTTATTACACAATTGCGAATTCGTCGAGTGCCTTTCAGAGACCCGTCCAAAAATTCATTACGGAATTGGCTTATCCTCGGCGGCAGTTGACGAGTGGGGATTTTCATTACAATTACTTTGCGATGGGACAATTGGGATTTTCGATTCATCAGTTTTCGGACGAGCCCATTTGGGACGCTATGGTCGGAGCTCCTGGGTGTTATGCTTGGACAGGAACTCCAGTGATGATTTCAGAAAATATGCCTGGGAGACTCAGCTCTCAGATATCTGAGAAGTTTGACGAAAATACTCAATTAAGTGGTAACCATTGTTTGAAGAAAGACTAAACTATAAACTTTACGGGATAATGAATGAGCTTGAGCAATTAATTCTAGGATACAGCGTGACGTCAGGCTTTTACTTCGACGATAAGAGGAGATGGTACGTCGCCTCGGCCCCTCAGACCGGCGATCTTAAGGGAAAAATCGAAATTTTCCAGTACGACGGTAATCTTGCTTTCAGAGAAGTGAAAATTGTCAAGGGCACGCAGAGCGGAGAGTATTTCGGGGCCTCAGTGACCTCCTGCGATGTTGATAACGATGGGAGAGATGATCTGATCGTTGGAGCTCCATCGTGGAGCATGAGTGGAGACGAGGGGCGGATTTATATGATTTCAGCGAGAAAAAATTCAAATGTAACTCTATTTTTATTGACATTAGTTTCTATTCGAAGTGCTTCGCTTAAATGATGGTGAGTGCATCGAGTTCGAGGGGAATAATTTGTTTTTATGGTTCAGGGGTTTGACACGACTTGGATCGATGGAAAATTCGAGGGAGCTCGATTTGGATCGAGCGTTGTCTGTCTAGGTGACCTGGATCACGATGGCTATGGAGATGTTGCTGTTGGGGCACCGTACGAGGATAAATCCGGTGCTGTTTATATTTTCAACGGTGGTCGTTACGGATTATCTAGAGAGCCAAGTCAAAAGATCCTTGGCAAGGATTTTGGGAGGCTGAGTGGCTTTGGAATCGCCATTTCTGAACCCAGGGATGTCGATGGAAATGGCTATCCTGATGTTGCCGTTGGAGCTTACAGATCTGGCCACACTGTGCTCTTTCGAGCTCAACCAGTCGTTAAAGTGAATATTAGTTTGAATTACGTCGACTCTGCGAGGCTCAACAGTAACACTACCAAGTTTTCTGTTAGATTCTGTGGGTATTACGACGGACACAGAGCACCTGAGACTCTGAGTAAGTCACGAAAAATGTTCTGTTTCAACTACTCGTTGTTTTTTCCATTTTCCAAATTTTCCTGAGAATTTGACTCTGCTATTTTCGTATTTTTTAACTTTAGGGGTGAAGAGAATTTTCAGAGTCGATGAGACACATCATCGGGCGAGGCTTGACACTCATTCAGGTAATGATGGAGCTTACGAATTCGAAGGTGTTCTTCATAATGGACGAGAAGTTTGCGCCGACATCCCAATAATTCTGATGGTAATAACCAGATCAACTCAATATATCGTCTCCCTCCAATTTTACCCCTCAATTCATCATTCAGGAAGGAACGAAGACAAATCCAATCGACATTTCTGCATCCGTCGCACTGGTGGATGCACCTGTGGCACTCGACAAATTTCGCTCGAAGATTGAAGACGCAGTGCGTCTTCCCTTCGACGTCGACTGCGGCTCCGACAACATTTGCTTCTCGAATCTGACTTCAGAAGTCTCCACATCTCTTGGAGAAGGAAACAGGTACATCGTGGGAGGGGAACGAACCGTGAAAGTCTTCATGGACGTTCGCAATCATGGAGAACCTGCTTACGAGACTCAAGTGCATGCAGCTCTTCCGCATTTCCTCTCTCTGGCGAATCTGCCTTCCGGCTGTGAGGAGAATCACCTGATCAATGGATCTGTCGAGGTTGTTTGTGGCGTCGGAAATCCATTACGACATGAGGTAATTCAAGAAGATTAAATCAGTTGTCGAATAGCGGGAAAAGATGAGTGAAAACATTTTCTGAATTTTTTTTGCGAATATTTTTAGAGGGAAATATGAATAAAATAAAAACATTTATTGTATTCTATACAATCATTTAAAACATTTACAAATATTGCAAACATTTTTTTTCTATAAAAACATTTATTGTATAGAATACAATAAATGTATTCTAGACAATAAATGTTTTATATATTATGTTATTATGTTATGTTTCATGTTTTCTTATATTTTTTTTATTTTTCATGTTTTCAAAGAAAATGAAAGAAAAAAGAAAACAAAAGAATAGATGAATAGATATTTAGCTAGTTGATAGTATTGTATAATTGAATACGAAAGATGAGTTGTTTTACATTACCATGAATGAGATGAGTGAAACGGTTCGAGGCATGTGGTAATGGTGAAGGAAGTATTCTTTTCTTATTTGATAATTTTTTTCCTCCTTAAGACAAGACTGACACTCGAATTATCGATGAGTCAAGTGGAAATTGAGTCAGAAGACTACTCAGACTCGATACAAGTGCCGATTCACCTCACGACTCAAAGTACGAATATTAATCATGAAGGAGGAATACATAATTTAGTGATCAATCTCGCGATTAACGCGAGCGTTGACATTACTGGGTACGTAATCCGTGTAAACGGGAAGACGATTTTTTTAATTTCTTGAAATGAATTGCAGAAAGGCAGAGGAGAGTATCTATTCGTACTTGGACTCCTCAGGAGACGCAAAACTCGATGTTATCCAGTTCAACCACATTTATGGAGTCCAAAAGCTGGGAATAACTCCGATTCAACAAGCTGTTCTGATTGTCCTCGTGCCCACGCACTTGAGAAAATCAAAAAATGAAGTAATCGAAATAGCGAGGATAAACGCAACAACATTGAAGTACTTTGATTCAACAAATCGAAATGACAATGACTACGTTTGCAAAACCGAAAGAATTGGAGTGAATGAGAAGAAAATTATTGCGAGGGAGTCGAATAATTTCACACAGTCTGTAGACACTTCTTTGAGGAATCGTGCGTTATTTCTCAACTGCGATAATGATGCAATTGATTGTGTTAATGTCACGTGTCTCATGGACGTGCCAAGAGAATCTGTTAATCCCTCTGTAATCGCAGAATTGAAATTAACGATTGATTTGTTGTTGAAAGACGTCCCTGGTGAGTCAATAATTAGTTGACCAAGAGTGACGATCAATTGAATTGACGAAATAATTTCAAAAAAAATATTTTTCACATGACAGATGACTTAACGACTTCGGAAGACATTATACATTTCGTATCAAACGGATCAGTGATGATTACTCACCCATCGCGAGCTAGTGAAGCGTCTGGAGTGAGGGCAAAATCAACCCTCGTTGGCACTAAATTCCTGGAGACACCTGTTGCTGCTCAAGTAACCATCTGGATAATTGTTGTCTCTGTACTCGTTGGAATTCTTCTGCTGGCACTCCTGATATTCGCTCTCGTCAAACTGGGATTTTTCAGTAGGAAACATAAGGAAGAATTGGAGGCACTGAAGGCTGATTCTGACGTAAGTAAACATGAATATTTGATAGTTGTTGAGGCAAAAGCATAAATTGAATTATCCATTTTTGCATTCATTCACAGGAAATCAACGGCATCCCCGTAGAGACGACCTCATCAAAACAGAGCTTAGATCGATATTAATTGAAACCAAATTAATTTATGAATATTTTTTATTTAATAGTCTCACTGTGCCATGACTGGAGTCTTCTCCCACTGTAAATAGCTATCATATCATTTTAAATATAATAAATCTACTGCCTATTCTTTGGCCGCGATTCACGCAAAAATGACTGAATGGATCTCAAGGGTATTTTTTAGTTTAGGCTCCCCATCGGCTTTGGACTATAAGTTATTGCATTGCTATATTGAACTATGCACCGTAGAAACTTCTAAAAAATTCTAGAGCTTTCTGGAAAATTCTAGAATATTCTTGAGTTTTCGAGAATATTCTTGAGATTCCTAGAAAGTTGGAGAATATTCTCGGGTCTTCTGAACAATTCGAAAAAACTCCCTGGTCTTCGAAAAAATTCAAGAAAAATTTCGGTTTTTCAGAAAATTTGAGAAAATTCTTTGGTTTCACAGAAAATTCGAACTCTTTAATTTTCTAGAGAATTTGCAGATTTCCTACAGAATTTACAGATTTTATAGAAAATTCAAGAGTTAGAATTTTCTAGAAAATCTGTAAATTCTCTAAAAAATTCGAAAGAATTTTCGGGTTTTTTAATATTTTTTTTGTTCCAATTGCTCAATTATCTAGAAAATTTGAAGGAATTCTCAAGTTTCCTAATAAATTTTTCTTTATTCCACTTGAGCAATTTAATTTCAAAATTATCGTGTATCATTTGAGGTATTTTTTTTTTAATTCCAGAAATCCTCAAAAATCTTGGTATTAAATTTTCTCTATTCAACCAGACCACACAGCTAGTAATCCAGAATATTAAACCCTAGCACCACCCACCATTCCCATCAATGTGTCATCGAAAATCCAAGAGCAAAAAATCTAACCGAGAAGGATTAAACATTCTCAAAGGCACGTACGTGCGTTTATCTCTGACGTCTATCACCAGCTAAAACACAACGAAATCCCTCTCTGACTGGCGTTCTGGGTCTCCATGGGTGCCACATCCTTCCGGCCGGCCATTCCTTCCCCGACGACTTGACCAATCCTTCCTCATAATTCCCGCAGTCTATTATTACTCCCATCGCTTCCCAGAATGTCACAATTTCGTGGGAATTTACTTCCGTTTTTCGCACTCGTTTCGATCATTTTTTGTGGGAAATCCGGTGGATATAATCTGGATATCAAAGGAAGAGTTGTGTTCAGTGATCCTGGCAGAGGGGATTACAGCAGAAGTTATTTCGGTTACGCAGTGGCACTTTACCCCAGCAGTTCTGATCCTCTGGTGCTCGTGGGCGCCCCCAGGGCCAATGTCAGTAGACTATCGAGGATCGGGGAGCCCGGGGCTGTCTACCACTGCCATTTGGATGGAAAATGTAAGGAGTGGATTCTCGACGAGGCGAGGAATGGGAGAGTCAAGGGGCTTGACGATGTCAATCAGAGGCTCGATGGGGCCTGGATCGGAGCTGCTATTTCTGTGGAAAACGCCACAAACCCTGGAGTTGTGGTTTGTAATTCTTGTCCTTGAAAAATTGATTTTATCTTCAATTTTTTTTATTACAGCTTCCAGACCCGGATTTCGGTCCATTCAGCTGCGAAAAAAATTAAGTTAAAATGATGCTATTTTTATACAAAAAAGGGGAAAAAAACTATAGTATTACGGGAGTAAGAAAATTATGCAAATATTTATGTATTTTATTATTTACATAATGTTAATTAATTTTATTTTATATTTATATAAAATATATATAGATATTTTACATAAATATATTGATAGATATTTTACATAAATATTTACATAATTTTCTTACTCCCGTAACACTATAGTTTTGTCCTTTTGTTTTTTTTTGTATTCCACACAGTTTTTTTTCTTTCCCCCGCATATTTTCAAATCACACTTTTTAAGAAATTTCGAAATTGCCTTAATGTTTTTGTAATTGAGTTCGCACAGTATCTCCTCAATCTTGTACGGTTTTGTGTTATTTTCTTTGATTACCTGAATGAGTTACCTCGAAAATTGAAGGGCGAGGTGGACTATTCCGTGAATATCTCGGGAACTAGTTGGCTGAGGAGAAAATGTGAGAAAACATTTATTGCGGAGAATTTAATTTCCCGGACAAAAGATCTTTTAACGTTTTGCTCTAAACCTCATAGTTACAGAGATATTCGCGAAATAAACTCGGAAAAATCGTGACGTTCATCGTATTTTCATCATTTTCCTGCGGAATTCCCGGATTTTTTTTCTTCTTTTTCACAGGTTTGCGCACCAAATTGGAAGAATGTTATTAGCAAACATTACTACGCGAATGGAATTTGCTATTACACAGTTGCTAATAATTCACGAGCATTTGAAAGAACTGTGGATTCGATAATTAATGTTTTTGCTGGTCGCTATGATCAAATAGCGTACGATGGGCGGGGTGAGGCGTACAATCTGCGAGCAATGGGGATGCTGGGATTTTCGGTGCACGAATTTACCGATGAGCATGACAAGCATTGTGTTTTAACAGGGGCCCCTGGGTATCACGAGTCGGCGGGGAATGTTGTCTTATTTTCTAAGAACGAAAAGGGGAGGACTGACTCGGTTGTGCCTAGGGATGTGGACGGAGCTGGGGGGTCTATCATTGGTGAGGATGTTCTCATGGATTTCTAGAATGAGAATGCGAGACGAACAGACACTTCCGTTTAATTTTAGGGTACAGTGTGACGTCCGGCTTCTACTTCGACGCAAATCGAAAAGAGAGATGGTACGTTGCATCGGCCCCTCGAACGAAGGACGTCACGGGATCAGTGTTAATGTTCAAGTTCAATGGGAGCCAGTCTGTGAAAAAACCTATGATAATCAGAGGGCGTCAGGTAGGAGAGTACTTCGGCGCCTCAGTGACCTCCTGCGACGTTGATAACGATGGGAGAGATGATCTGATCGTTGGAGCTCCATCGTGGAGCCTGAGTGGAGACGAGGGTCGGATTTATATGATTTCAGCGAGAAGAAATTCAAATGTAACTCTATTTTTATTGACATTAGTTTCTATTCGAAGTGCTTCGCTTAAATGATGGTGAGTGCATCGAGTTCGAGGGGAATAATTTGTTTTTATGGTTCAGGGGTTTGACACGACTTGGATCGATGGAAAATTCGAGGGAGCTCGATTTGGATCAAGCGTTGTCTGTCTAGGTGACCTGGATCACGATGGCTATGGAGATGTTGCTGTTGGGGCACCGTACGAGGATAAATCCGGTGCTGTTTATATTTTCAACGGTGGTCGTTACGGATTATCTAGAGAGCCAAGTCAAAAGATCCTTGGCAAGGATTTTGGGGGGCTGAGTGGCTTTGGAATCGCCATTTCAGAACCCAGGGATGTCGATGGAAATGGCTATCCTGATGTTGCTGTTGGAGCTTACAGATCTGGCCACACTGTGCTCTTTCGAGCTCAACCAGTCGTTAAAGTGAATATTAGTCTGAATTACGTCGACTCTGCGAGGCTCAACAGTAACACTACCAAGTTTTCTGTTAGATTCTGTGGATATTACGATGGACACAGAGCACCTGAGACTCTGAGTAAGTCACGAAAAATGTTCTGTTTCAACTACTTGTTGTTCTTTCCATCTTCCAAATTTTCCTGAGAATTTGACTCTGTTATTTTCGTATTTTCGAACTTCAGGGGTGATGACAACATTCAGAGTGGAGGAGACACACCATCTGGCGAGGCTTGCTACACACTCGAGCAGCAATGGAACTTATGAGCTCGAAGATTTCCTCTACAACAGCAGAAAACTCTGCAGCGACATTCCAGTAGTTTTGGACAGGGGAACTAAAACTGAACCACTCGACATTTCCGTGTCCCTGAGGCTGTTGAATGAGGACCCGGCTTTTGCCTTCTGCATGAGGTGTCCCAGGATCAATGGAAAAACCTCGATAACCGAAGCTTCCCTGCGACTCAATTTCGATCACGATTGTGGTCCCGACAACATTTGTCACTCCAATCTAACGTCAAGGATCTCAACTTCTCTTGGAGACGGCAACAAGTACATTATGGGAAAGGAGAAGACAGTGAAGGTCTCGATAGACGTCAGGAATTACGGAGAACCTGCTTACGAGGCCGAGGCACACGTGCTCCTGCCCGAATTTATCGCTCTGTCGAGTGTACCTTCCGCTCCTTTTTCTGACTGCAAGGAGACACCAGTGGTCAATGGATCTGTCGAGGTGGTTTGTGCACTGGGAAATCCATTTCGACAGCAGGTAATTAAAAGAAGTTCAATTGAAAATGAAAGTTTAAAGCTGAAATGAGGATTTTTTTTTCAAGACTACTCTAACACTGGAATTAGACATGAGTCAACTCAAGACTGAGTCAGAACTGTACGGAGACTCAATGCACGTGCCCATTAGTCTCTCAACTGAGAGCATAAATGATAACGATCAGAATGGAATTAATAATCTGATTATTTATCTGGTTATCGACAGCGCCCTCAACATTACAGGGTTTGTAATCAGTTCTCTGGCACAATTTGGCTAAAATCCCAAATAAATAATACCTGAACATCTCAAATTAATTTCAGACAAGCGAAGGAGAGTTCTTACTCGTACTTTAGCATCTCGGAGGAGAGCAACATCGAGATTATCCAGTTCAATCACAATTATGGAGTCCAAAAACTGGGAATAACTCCGATTCAACAAGCTGTTCTGATTGTCCTCGTGCCCACGCACTTGAGAAAATCAAAAAATGAAGTAATCGAAATAGCGAGGATAAACGCAACAACATTGAAGTACTTTGATTCAACAAATCGAAATGACAATGACTACGTTTGCAAAACCGAAAGAATTGGAGTGAATGAGAAGAAAATTATTGCGAGGGAGTCGAATAATTTCACACAGTCTGTAGACACTTCTTTGAGGAATCGTGCGTTATTTCTCAACTGCGATAATGATGCAATTGATTGTGTTAATGTCACGTGTCTCATGGACGTGCCAAGAGAATCTGTTAATTCCTCTGTAATCGCAGAATTGAAATTAACGATTGATTTGTTGTTGAAAGACGTCACTGGTGAGTCAATAATCAGTTGACCAAGAGTGACGATCAATTGAATTGACGAAATAATTTCAAAAAAAATATTTTTCACATGACAGATGATTTAACGACTTCGAAAGACATTATATATTTCGTATCAAACGGATCAGTGATGATTACTCACCCATCGCGAGCTAGTGAAGCGTCTGGAGTGAGGGCAAAATCAACCCTCGTTGGCACTAAATTCCTGGGCACACCTGTAGCAGCTCCAGTAGCCAGCTGGGTAATTGCTGTCTCTGTTGTCGTTGGAATTGTTCTGCTGGCACTTGTGATATTCGCTCTTGTCAAACTGGGATTCTTCAGGAGAAGACAGAAAGAGGCGTTGGAGGCACTGATGGCTGATTCAGACGTAAATAAAGAGAAACATTTGCCAACTGTTGAAATATGGGGATAAGTTGAATTATTAATTTCTCGTTCGCTCGACATAATCACATTATTCATAGTCGTCACTCTTTTCTCGACGAGGTTTTATCAAAACTGTAAATCGTTTTTGTATTGATTTTCAGAGAAAGGAAGGCATAGTCATAGAAACTACGTCATCAAAGGAGTGTCTAGATCAAGATTAAACATCACGAACATTTTTTTCTTTCAGAACAATTAATCCTTCACGAAGTAATTGTCAATTTATTTCTCTCGTTGTGCCATATTTTCAACTTTCTCCTCGGACTTCTTTACAGCATATAATTATTTTGAATAAACTATGTCAGGAAACAACGGTTTTCAGTGAGTTATGCTCTCTTAAGGCCACAAAATATTTATAAAAATATAAGTTTAAGGTCTCTGAGACGAACGGCTGCTTCGTTCGACGAATTCTCGCGCATATTTAGCGATTATTTCGGTATTTATTGATAAATAATCAGATCTGATGCTTCATGAAGCGAATAAATAACAGATGAGAAGAGATTTTTTTTTTCACATCATTTTGCAATTGTGCGTGATCTCTTCCTGAGATTTCTATTGAAGACTAAGTATTTAAAAATATTTCATATAACAAACTTTTCTGTTTTATTCTCTGGTAAATTATGCACGGCCTTTAATTATCTCGAGTTCATGCGATAATTGCTTGAGTAATTATTGATAAATAATCAGATCTGATGCTTCCTGAAGCGAATAAATAACAACTGAGAAGAGATAATTTTTCTTCAAATCATTTTGCATTTGTGAATGGAAGAATTTCAAGAAAATTTTTCCTGTGAGGACTTTAATTCTCCCACATAATATGAATTTTCTATTTTTTCTGTCGCAAAATTTCCCTCATCATTTCACTACTAATTTTTGTGCCATATCTCTTCCTGAGATTTCTATTGAAGACTAAGAATTTAAAAATATTTAAATTAATCAACTTTTTTGTCTCATTCTCTGGTAAATTACGCAAAATCTTTAATTATCTCGAGATAATTATTTGAGTAATTACTGATAAATAATCAGATCTGATGCTTCATGAAGCGAATAAATGACAGAGAGAAAAAATCATTTTTTTCAAATCATTTTGCAACTTGTGAATGTAAATTTCACAAAATAATGTGAATAAATTACGCAGAGCCTTTAATTATCTCGAGTTCTCAAATAAATTTCCTCAGATTCGAATTTAAAAAAAAAAGTGGCTGTGGGGAATTTAATCCTCATCGTCACCGAGCCCCAACCCCTTGGAAATATCAGCAGCACTCAATCTTCCCCCACCGGGAGGTGGTGGGCTTGATGGTTTGGGTGGAGGTGGTGGATCACTCCTCGGAGGCCCATAATTCTGAGAATACTGAGGCGGTGGCTGCGGAGAGAACTGACGGTCATCCCCGTGAGAATTCTAGACACATCAGAATATTTATTGATCTCAAATTCCCCTCGAGAAGGTCCCAATCATCAAAAAACAAATTACCCCATTTTTTTACCGCAAAATTTTTGAGAAAAAGAGAAAGTAAAAAGCGAGATAATAGCGTGAACAGATTTATTCCATTAAATTCTACAAAATAAGCCAAGAGTATTACTTTATTAATTAATAGCGCACTAGAAAAAAATCAATGGATCATGCAACAGTAGTCTTCCTCCAGGGTTGAAAATATATAAAATCATAAAGCATAAAACAAGTGAATTATAATAAAAATAAACATGTTTTACATAATCAATTACCATATCGTGCGAAAGAGATAAAATCTTCAATTTTCATTCTCCTCATTTCATGAATTATCTCGTTAACAAATTGTTTTACGAAAAAGTGTCATGCGACTTTTTTTTAAATAATGAAATTTCCAACAAAAAATGTCTTTTCACATTTTCCTCTAGACCCATTCGTTGCCGAGATAATTCCATTCATTCATTAATCAAAAATCAAAAAACCATTTTCTACTTATTTTTCTAAACCTCCCACCACTTCGCCTATAAAATTGATAAAAAATCGTACAAAAAATATATTCAACATTTAAAAATTCTCCAAGAAGCTCAGGACTGCGTGAAAAGCGTAAAAAATCATGCAGAATGTTTGAATCGGTCAGTGAAAGAGCGCTGAAGCCCAGGAAAGCGAAGAAATTTGGGGAGACGTTTTAAATTTTCCTCTCCCTCCCACTCTGGATTTTTTTACTCACTCGTTTGCTCAGACTATCGAGTGCAGAGCTGAAGAGAGCGCCCCCAATGCCACTGAGTAGGTCAGAGCCACCTGAACTCTGATTATAACCAGGCTGTGTGTATCCACCACTGGGTTGATAAGCTGGCTGTTGATGGCCTCCCCCACCTCCAAGGACACCACCCAGGATCGATCCAAGACCTCCAAGGCCTCCCAGGGGGTCAGGCTGCTGTGGGGGTGGGTAATTTGGAGGGTGAGAGCCACCACCACCTGATCATTAACAGAAAAAAAACAGTTCGATTGATAATTCTGGTGTTTATTCACCCAAAAAACATTTTTTTCTCAGAACTTCAGTCGTGATTTTATAAAATTGTTATTTAATGTATTTTTTTATGAATAAAGTGTCAAAGATAAAAGAATCAGGAATGTATAAAGTTAATGGAATGACATTTCTGTCATTATTACTGATGAAAAATCTATTTGATTGACGTTCTGATGACGATTTAATTTTTTAAAAAGACGTTTCTCGTGACAATTCACTCCTGCTTTTTTAAATTACTATTCATTGTCGTTTTTTGTAAATGATATCGTTAAATATTGTTCAGAAGTCTAGAAAATTAATGCCACGGTCTTAAATGCCCATCATTATCATGGAAAAAATAATTTGATGGATATTCTGATGAATAATCAATTAAAAAAGATATTTTTCTTGGAAATTGACTCATGTCTTCTTCAATTACTATTAAATATATTTTTTCACGAATAAAATCGTTATAAAACTTGCTAGAACTGAAGAAAATTAATGTAATTGACTCAAATTCCTAATATTATCATCCAAAAAAATAATTTGATTAACATTCTAATGAATAATTAATTAAAAAAGACATTTCTATTGACAATTGACTCAGGTCATCTTCAATTCCTATTAAATATATATTTTTCCTTCACAAAATCGTTAAAAAAATTGCTATAACTCCTGAAAATTAATGTAATTGACTCAAATTCCTAATATTCTCATCCAAAAAAATTATTTGATTAACATTCTGATGAATAATTAATTAAAAAAGACATTTCTATTGACAATTGACTCATGCCATCTTCAATTCCTATTAAATATATATTTTTCCTTCACAAAATCGTTAAAAAAATTGCTATAACTCCTGAAAATTAATGTAATTGACTCAAATTCCTAATATTCTCATCCAAAAAAATTATTTGATTAACATTCTGATGAATAATTAATTAAAAAAGACATTTCTATTGACAATTGACTCATGCCATCTTCAATTCCTATTAAATATATATTTTTCCTTCACAAAATCGTTAAAAAAATTGCTATAACTCCTGAAAATTAATGTAATTGACTCAAATTCCTAATATTATCATCCAAAAAAATAATTTGATTAACATTCTGATGAATAATTAATTAAAAAATACAATGTCCTCGACAACTGACTCACGTCATCTTCAATTACTAATAAACAAATCGTTAAATACTTTTTATAAGTCTAGAAAATTGATGTCATTGTCTCAAATTCCTATTATCATCCATAACCGTCCTTAATGATGCATATCACTCCCATGACATCATCAAGACCAGATTTCCCAATCCTCGTCAATTTTCGAGTTAAAAATCCATCAGATGGAGTTATCAGAGTCAAGAACACATGAAATGAGTGGAAATGAGTGGAAATAGTAGTTACCGAGTGCCCCGAGAAGTGACCCCAGCATGTCGCCCCCTCCCTGGGATGGGTAGCCAGGCTGTTGTCTGGTGTCACCGGACAGAGCATTGGAGACTAGACTGCTGGCTAGGGCTGTACCTAGGGCTCCCAGGTTCAGCCCTCCTCCCTCACTCTCGGTTTTCGAACCCTCGACTTTCTCGTGCTCTGTCTCTTTGTCGTGTTCCTTTCTCTTCTGCAATGGGACATGATCATTTGTCAATAATTATCATTTGTGTTTTTATAATTTTCTTAGTTGTTTTTTTTAAATAATGACTCAGAGGAAATGAATATTGAGATATTTTTCGAGGGAATTTTTGGGTTTTGTCTTTTAAGAACAATTCCATTTCTTATCATCATGATTAATTTGAAAAACAATTGAACAATTTGCAGATAGTTATCGTCTTTTTTTCTAATTCTCATCTATTTTTTTTTTAAATGGCCCTGAGGAAATAAATGGAGGAACAGTTTCTGAGAGAATTTCTGTGTTTTTTTTCGTCGAAGAACAATGCCCATTGCTTATTTTTCATGAATAATTTGGCAGATAGACAACTGAAAAATTTGAAAATAATTTTCATGTTTGTTATGATTTTTTAAATTCTCTTCCAGGTTTTTTTTGCCAATAAATATACCTCTGATTGGACTATTTTTTGAGAGACTTTTTCGTTAGAGACAAAATCCAAAAAATCCCATTCTTATCACCATAAATAATTTAAAGATAAACAATTAAAAAATTTGAAAATAATTATCATCTGTTTTTCCCGATTCCCCTCCATTTTTTTTTACAATATAAATAAATATGCCCTTAAGGAAATAAATATTAGGCAATTTTTTCAGGAAATTTTTGGGTTTTGCTCTAAAGAAAAATTGCCATAATTTAATCCAGATATTTTCTGGAATATTTATCAATTGAGGAATAATTACGTTGTAAGCATGCATGGCAGCAGCAACCCCTCCAGCAGCGACAAGCCCCCCGAGAGCAAGACCGACTTTGTCCAAACATCCACCGAAGGCCTCCTCCTCTTCAGGTTTCTCGTAGCCAGGTTGATAACCGTAAGGTTTGCTGGGTGGGGCGTAGCCTCCAGGGCCACCAGGGGGTCCATAGCCTCCAGAGCCAGGACCATAGCCCCCTTGGGGTGCTGAGGGAGGCTGAGGGTTCAGGGTGGGGTAGAGTCCCCCCGGACCTATAAAAATAAATCAAAACGAAACGTAAACCTCATGTTTTCAAGCTCTTCCACTATTTCTAATTTTCCCATTTTCTTTAAAATTGGATTTATCCACTGACCGAGTAGTTTTACATGAAAATGTCATCAGAACTTTTTTGTGGAGAATTAAATTTCCCACAAAAAGTCCTCATAACATTTTCCTCTAAACCCAATAGCCACCGAGATATCCCCGAAATAGTCTGCGTGAAATCCAACGTTTTGAAATTCGATTCTCCAAATCATGATTTCCAAATTCGTCTGTATCACGCAAACGAGTCGTTTTAGGAAAAAATGTCAAAAGAACTTTTTTATGGAGAATTAAATTTCCCACAAAAAGTTTAAATCACATTTTTCTCTAAACCCATCCCCTCCCGAGATATCCCGCCAAACCCACCGGGTGGTCCAAAATCAGCAGCAGGCACATCGGGAGCAGTGGCCATTCTCGGTGACCTAGGCGCTCCAATGCTCTCGTACGAAATACTCGTGACTTCGACATCGCCATCGATGACGAGATGAGTGACCTTCTGATAAGGCAGACGATGCCCAAACTCGGTGAAGTGGCGCCCATTGATGGCGATTTTGTACTGAAGTGGTTCACAGAGCAGAATCACCTCGAATTCCTCCCCAGGCTGGATGACGAGGGGTCCACCGTTCTCCTCAGGCCCCCAGGACATCGACTGAATGTGGTTACGAGTGATGAAGCCGTCGGTGAAGCGAGGCGACAAGTGAATCGCAATGTCATCGCGTGGATTTAAATTCGGCCCCAACTGGTAGTTAATGGCGAAGCGAACAGCATTTGGGGGAGTTTTCCCCTGGATCTTCACCATTTTCCCAGGGGTGAGACCACCCTCGACTGCCCCCGCGTAAGGAATTTCCTGGGGATTTAATTATCGTTTTCTTAATTGAGTTTTCATCATTTTTCTACGTGAGGAAAATCTTCAGGACTTCAGTCATGAATTTCTCGTGACCCAATGACGCGATCGGGATAAACCAGGGCTCATTTTAAAGTCTGGAAAAATCCCCTCAAAATGAAGAGAAAAAAATTGAATTTCACTCTGCCAATCTTGAGTTATTGTTGACTAAAAAAAGCTCATTTAAAAGTCCTCGTTTCAGGAGGCCTTTACCAATTCCGTGATTATCTTGAAAATGCGTAATTCTAGAGGAAAATATCATAGAACATTTTCCGTGGCAAATTCAATTGCCCACAAAAAATATTTTATGACATTTTCTCCTAAACCCTCTCCCTCCAAAGATATCCCCAAAAGAACTCCTCAATCCCCCAATTTCCTCATAAAACAGATGTTTTTATTTCTCATTTATTCGCTGAAGAACTTGAAGAGAGGTATTTCGACGACTGTGGCCTTGAAAAATCGGTGTTTATGAAGCCAGCAAAACACAAACAAACGATCTATAAAGGATCCCCTCCCATAATTCATCAAATCTTTGCTATTCCACGAAAAATCAATTTTCCAAAAATTAAAATTGTTTGTAAAATTCGAAAAATCAACATTCTTCACCCCCCCCCCNCAACATTCTTCACCCCCCCCCCGCCCTTCTCCCCCTCCCCCATAATAATCCCAATTATAATTATAATCCCAATTATAACAAAATTAATTCAAATAATAATTTTTCGATTCCTTTCACTTCTTCGAATTGAAGAAAAAGACTGAAAAATATTAATAGAGTAAAATTCTAATTGATGTGTCTTAAAATCTATGGATTATAGTTGATGACAGTGACGCTAGCATTTAAAATGCCACCGTAACGGCACAACAATTCCAATGCCATCGCAATAAGGTCACAAACAACAAATGGAACTGAATACTCCGGAAAAATCCTGGCTTGTACCGATTAAAATCAAAATAAAGCAGGTTGATATCAATATTGAGCTTGAGAAAATTCATAAAGATATTATTTCGGAGTACTCACGGGATTTAATACCGGAGATGACGCCATGGTGATGCTCTTGATGACAGAATGGCACCTGACGATCCCTCAGACTGCACTGACGACGGAATTTACCCAGGTTTTTTAATTGAAACACTGGATTCAGAGGAGAACAGCCGCAGTGCGCAGAGGAAGACACGAGACTCTGCGTCTTTCTTAGCACTTCATATATCGGGACTGGAGTTCTATTTACAGTGGTGACGCAGAGGCAACTGTAGAGGCAGATCAGGAAGATCGAGTGATTTCTAGTTTATTAACAGTTGGGAATGAACGATTTTTTATTGTTGATTGATGGAAAAAGTGCGGTTGATGAGTTCGAGAATTTAATTGAACTACGCTGATAGAAAAACAAATTTGTGATTTTTTTTTCTTAGGGATGTTTAGCCATTTTCAGCAAATCTTATTTTTTCATGTCCACGAAAAATTCTATAATTTTTTTGGCTGACAGCAGAACATATGAAACTAACTTCGTCGATGCTAAAATAGGATATTTCGATACAAGTGCGGAATAGTATATTTCAGCACGTGTGGGGCAATTTCGTCTTTAACGTGTGTGGGGTTTACAGCATGAGCCGAAGGTGAGTGATGTAACCACACACGTTAAGGACGTAATTTCCCAACAAGTACTGAACAAAATTTTATGTCACGAAGTCTGAAACCGGCTGAAATAGACACGAGACGCGAAACGTCGAGTGTGTAATCCAGCCGGTTTCAGGCATGAGTGGCATAAAAGTGTTTTTCGGCTCGTGGGGGGTTTATAGCGCGAGCCGAAGGCGAGTGATGTAATCCCACGACCCGGAAAAGTCACTTTTCCGCACAGCGTGATGAAAAAAAATTAATCGCAATAGCCTCGCCAGAAATAACTAAACATATTTCTCTAGTTTATTAACAGTTGAGCATAAAGGTTTTTTTACTGTGGATTGATGGAAAAAGTGCGGTTGATGAGTTCGAGAATTTAATTGAACTACGCTGAGAGAAAAACAAATTTGCGATTTTTTTTCTTAAGGATGTTTAGCCATTTTCAGCAAATCTTATTTTTTCATGTCCAAGAAAAATTCTATAATTTTTTTCGCTGACAGCAGAACATATGAAACTAACTTCTTCGATGCTAAAATAGTCTATTTCGATACAAGTGCGGAAAAGTGTTTTTTGGCTCGTGGGGGGTTTATAGCGCGAGCCGAAGGCGAGTGATGTAATCCGACGAGCCGGAAAACACTTTTCCCACGAGTATCGAACGATTTTTTTCATCACAATGCGTGGGAAAGGGACTTTTAGTCACGCGAAGCTTGCCTGAAAAGTCACTTTTCCGCACAGCGGAAATTGACTAAATCTGATTTAGTGGAACAAATTTGTGATTTATTTTTCTTAAGGATGTTTAGCCATTTTCAGCAAATCTTATTTTTTCATGTCCAAGAAAAATTCTATAATTTTTTTCGCTGACAGCAGAACATATGAAACTAACTTCTTCGATGCTAAAAAAAAATTAATCCCAATAGCCTCGCCAGAAATAAATAAACAAATTTTTCCTTATACACGGGCGCTTATGGGATTTATGTTAAAATTTGACACGCGGAAAATTCATGGGACGACTTCGCAATACTGAACCCTTCGTGTTTCACTCGCGGTGTGAAGACACGCCCGAATTTAATTGCAAGGAAGTCTTGCATTACTTCAAGACGACTCTCGTACTTTAATTGCACTCTCCACTTGTCCTTTATGAAGGGATTAATTAGCACGCGACAATTTTCACCCACGCGCGGGCAATTCTCTAATCCAAATAAAACAATGTCTGTGAGAAAACTGTAGTTTTCAAAAATTTAATTCGGTTCATTGTTCAAATATCTCAAAAACCATCAGATTTAGTGGAAAGTGTCAGCACAACTTTTTCATTTCTCATGAAATTTACTACAAAAAATATTTAGGACAATTTCCACATAAATTGCCTAGATTTCGAAATAATTTCAACATAACGTGCAGAATTTTTCGACTTCCATTTCAATTAATTCGTGTTTTTGATTATCAATTTTTTAAATCATTTTTTTCAATTTAAAAATTGATTTTTTAAAATAATAATATATAATATATTTTAAAAAATTAAAAAAAATCAATAGAATATAATAATAATAATAATAATAATAATATATTATTATATCAATATAATAAATATATTATATTTTATATTTTTATTTTCATGTAAGTAAAAAATTTTTCGAAACTGAGAATTGAGAAAATAAAAAAAATTGCATCTTATGAAAGAAAAATGACATAAATAGATATTTTTCAAAAATTGAATAAGATAAAATAAATTAATCTAAGCTAAGCTAAAATTAGAATTCTTATTCCTTGAACATGACATGACTTGGCGGAATAGATCAATGACAGAAAACGTTTCACCAATTTTTTTACAGAGGATTCGCATTATTAATTATCATTATGAAATTAGCGTTAGTGATAGAAAAATCCTAGAACAGCGACATATGAACTCACAATGAAAATTATATGAAGCGTTACGATGCCTCGCCTCCAGGGCGCACCCATCGCATAAATAAAGGACCAGGGACATGCCCCTGTCAATTGAGATGAATGAATTCACTGAAAAAAGGGGATAAAGACGTTGAGATTATTCTATGACCTGAATAGTGAAATTCTCGAACCTGAAGCTAAAGCAGATAATTTTATGATTGAGTGCGACGACAAATCGACTTGAGACCTACTTACGATAATGCGGGTGCCCGTGGCTTCATTCGATTATCAGTGCCCCAAAAGTAAGAAGTTGATTAATGTGCTTGAATGGGGGGAGGGGGGAGGGGGAGGATGAATCAATTCAATAAATCGAAATTTAAAATTGACGGAAAAAATTTTGATTAATTTTTATCGAAAGTTTCTTATCAATTCTACTGAAGAGTTTTCTGTTAATCTCGGGAAAAACTTTTCATTTGTCTACATAGAATTTCATCATTAACTTTAATTCAAAGTTTTTTTAATTAATATGAATCCTAAAAGAAGGAAAAATCAATGGAATGGGAAAACTCGATTATTTTGGATTGCCAAATTCGCAGTTATCTCGTTGATGACTGATTTTAGACGAAAGTGTCACAAAACATTTTTTGTTGGAAATTTAATTCTCTACAAAAAATGTTTTATGTAATTTTCTCCTACAACCCCTCCATCCCGAGATAACCGCAAATTACCAAAAAAATTCTAGAACATTCGCAACAATTAAGAACATGAAACGAAATCTGTTTCAATGAATTAATTTAATGAATAAAAAAATTTAATTCATCTCGATAAAAGGTTCTTCATTAATTTCAATGAAAAAATTCTAATTGAACTTAATTAAAGGATTTTTATGAACCTCAATCCCCAAAAAAAAAAAAGTGACTGACCGAAAAATTCAATTTTTCCGCATTCCCAAATCGGCAATTAACTCGTTAATGACTGATTTTAGGACAAAATGTTACACAACATTTTTCGTTGGAAATTTAATTCTCTACAAAAAATGTTCTATGCAATTTTCTCCTCAAACCCCTCCATCCCGAGATAACTGCAAATTACCAAAAAATTCCTGAAACATTCACACCAGTTCACGCACAAAATAGTTTGAAAAAACGTTTCTTATTCTTCCGAGGGGAATACAACGCGCAAGTAGCATATTCCCGCACATGTACGAGCAAGGACCCTCGTCAGGATCAATAGGTAACCGAACCCTTCGCCCTCCACGTCTCAACCTCGTTCTTCTTCCCATTCCCTTGATCCTCCTTTATTCTCCTTCATCTCGACCTGAAATTCCCTTGTTCGCGTGCATCAACGGCTTCAAACACATTTTTATTCCGCTGATACAAGAGACATCGCTCTACTCCGCTCCCCGCACGTGGATCCCTAGATTAGGTGAATTTATCAGGCTTCCAGTGCAGTAGCCAAGGTGAAAAATAAAACGAAACAATAAAAAAAAACGGAGAAACGTCAGCTGTCGCGCGGTCACCAGTGTTGGGGTACACGTGCACCCCGTGTGAATGAAGCGGAAAGCACATATTTGTATCAAAGAAAACGAGTTCCTCGGGGGGACGGACCCCATTATTATTTTCCATTTGAAAATCGAAATTTAGTTCACGTTAAAAGAACTAAACTTATTGATTTCACTATCTCGTTCAATATCTCGGAATCTAGCGGACATAGCGAAATTTTCGTTACAACCTTTTTTGAAGCCCTTGAAATTTCCAGCAAAAAGTGTCATATGACATTTTTTCCTACAGCCACTCGTTAACGAGATAATCGCAAATTAAGAACAATGAAAAACGAGTTTTCCGGTTTTTGAATCATTTATTATGTTATCTACGATTTTATTGATTTGACGAGCGAAATTGACGAAGAAAAATTCTTAGTGCAGTTCAATTACTTCGTGAGATGATACAAGCCACTAATTCCCCCCATTTCAATGATAATTCGTCATTAAACCTCGAGGACAATCGTCTCATCGTTACGTGAATCGACGTGCAATAAATTTATATTGCAACTGTATTAACTGTTACGCGTTTTCCGCTGGACTTCCTGCGGCGCTCTTTATTTGAAATATTCTCCGTCACTCCGCATCATCGTGTGAAATTTCGGAGCGCAATTGGCGCCAATAAAACATGTGGGGCGTAAGAAGAATCGAAGACAAGGAAAAATAATATTTAACATGAAAATTTACGCGATTCGAGTAATTTCTCGGCGTTCAATAGTAAAAATTGGTAACAAAATGAAGCATTTTCAATACTTATGAAAAATGAATTTCACATCGCAAACCTTCGGTTAAAATAAATTAACATAGTGAAAATTTACGCGATTCGAGTAATTTCTCGTCGTTGAATAGTAAAAATTGGTAACAAAATGAAGCATTTTCAACACTTGAATTTGAAAAAATGCACATGAGAGAGAGGGGGGCACGCGCATGAGCGAGTGAGAGAGCGAGCCCGCGGTCTTTGCAGCCCCTGCCCCCAGTTTGTCGCAGCGCGTAGCCCTCGACGGTCGTTTCAACCGTTCGAGAGAGAGAGGATCAATGAATATTCAATCGTTAGTTCGTTGAATTAAAAAATTGGAATTGTTTTCTTGTTTTTTTTTCTCAAGTTCTGTTGCTTTGGTATTGGGGGTTGGGGGAGAGGAGTATGACGTGGATTTGAGGAGATTCAACAGCGAGAGGTAATGATTGATTTTTCTGAATGCACGTGTGAGGTGAATTCGGTAATGAATGGGTTGAGAGGAAAATATCAGAAAATATTTTTTATAGTTTAGGTCTGGGTAAAAAAAAATTTTGACATTTTTTTGTTTAAATTAGTCGTTAATGGGATAATTAAATCAACTATTGAAAAAGTTATCATTTTTGCTAATTCTGTCCAAATCAGATTTTTTTTTTAATTGGAAATCCAATTTTCTGCTTAAAGTATCTGTTTACTTTCTCTTTTGAATTAATGATAAATTATTTTAGAAATTTTTATATTGTAAATTTCTATAAAGATTTATTAATTAAGTAATCATCCAAATAACAAGTTATTTTAAAATAAAATATCCAGAAATGTTTTTTCGCATGAAAATTTCAAACGATTATTTAAATTTTTTTTTAATTATAGAAAAAACTCACGACATTTTCTGTTTAAATAACTTGTCAACGAGATAATTCAACAATTAAAAAATTTTTTTCCTCAATTTTGTAATTATTTCAGTGACAAGTTGCTTTAGAAAGAATTCTCACATTTTTTATAGAGAATTAAATTTCCAACAAAAAATTTTTACGTAACATGTAAAAAATGTTAGAAACAAAACAAAACAAAACCGAATGCTTGGGTTAAATATTATTATGTTTGTTGTTCTGAATGTTTTTTTTTTTACATTTTTTGTTGGAAATTTAATTCTCTACAAAAAATGTCTGTTCACATTTTCTCCTGAATTACTCATTAATGACATAATTCAATAATTTGTAACATTTTCATCTCACAAAGTTTAATGAATCTTCATTAATTAATCATCTAAATAACAAGTAATTTTAAAATAAAATATCAAGAGACGTTTTTTCGCGTGAAAATTACAAACGATTATTTAAATTTTTTTAAAATTATAGAAAAAACTCACGACATTTTCTGTTTAAATAACTTGTCAACAAGATAATTCAACAATTGAAACATTTTTTTCCTCAATTTTGTAATTATTTCAGTGACAAGTTGCTTTAGAGAGAACTTTCACATTTTGTTGTTGAAAATTCTTCAAACACAAAACAATTCTTATCAGAAAATTTTGGATATCACCACTACAAGTGCGGTAAATTTCCGGCTAGACCCATCAGGCCTATCTTAATTAAACCCCGAGATATCCGGAGGTTTCGAATTCTTATCAAATAACTTATTCCCTCGTTATCACCCAATAGACGATAATGAGTTTGAAATAGTCTTCGAGTAAGTGTTGTGAATCGGAAATTTCCGCGGCTTTCCAATGAAACGTCGACAATTCGTCACTCATATTTCTCGAAACATCACGTCTGAGGAAATGAAAAGGAGGAGGGGGTGGAGTAAATTTTTCTGGACTTACAAGGGTCACAAGGGTCACGAGGGTCAACTGGTCTAATTCTCCCTGGTTCCCCCAATTATTTCAAAGCATTGTAATACTTTTCACTTATTTTGTTTATTAATTCAGTAGCGAAGTGGTCAAACGGTTCAAGTCGATTTTGGCTATTGCCCAGTTTTCAATGAATATCTCGAAATCTAAGGGGGACAGTAAAATTTTTCTCATAACCTTTTTCGTAGCACTCAAACCGCTCTACAAAAAAGGTTATTATGAAAATTTCACTATCCCCGTTAGATTCGGAAATATTTCTGGAAAACTCCACTAAAGACTAAATTGACCTAAACCGTTTGACCACTTCGCTACTGAATTTGTATATCAGACTTTGGGGGTGACATCGCAAACAGGCGTCTCTCTCCCTTCGTGAGATGAATTCATCCAAAATTTTATCGAGATCTAACTCAGTCGGTCATTGGAAAAAAAATACAGTTTTCATAAAATTTAAATTTAAGGCCCGGATCTGGATTTTTTTATCTTTCGTAATCCAAAATTGTAAATTGAGTGGTACATCATGTAGAAATTCCCAAAAATTATGATAGAATGATGAAAAAAAATAGAAAAAATTCTGAACTTTTTCGAAGAGCGTTTTTAATTGAGATTCAGAATGAGTTGAAAAAAGTGGAAATTACAAATATCTGATTCGCTGTGGCTAATTATCTATTAGCTGTCATTTTCCATGGTGGATAAGAAAACACTAACTCCTCATGGGAAGTGACAGCTAGGTATCTCAATTTTCAAAAGAGTGTTATGTAGTCATCTGCCATTTTTATGTGATAAAAGTGTGATTAAAAAATTCTCCAAAATATTACAACTTCTTTCGAAGAGCCTTTTCCGTAATAAATGATTCTGTGCAGTGTGGGAAAAGATTTACGAAATCAGTCTTCCCCCTGCATGATATTGGGTGACAGGCCGCCATTTGTCACCGTAAATCAGATACATTTTTCAATTTCTTGTTATTCAACTTATTCTGAATATAAATTAAAAATGCTCTTTGAAAAAATTAAGAATTTTTTCTACTTTTTTTTTATTATTCATTTATAATTTTTCAAAACTTCTGCATGATGCAGGACTTAATTGACAATTTCAGATGACGAAAGATGAAAAAAAAAACATCGAGATAACGTTCGAAAGATAGTACACCCGGGCCTTAATTTAAATTATTTTGAGATGTGGAATTCCCCACTTCGAAAGTTTGGAGGTATGGAGTGACCAATAAACTCCACTACGGTTCCGCCGCCTCTGAAAAGGAGAGCAGTCAGGCTCGTTTGAATATCAATGGAGTATTTGGTGCATAAACTATTGTATCACCAGGTTTTTCATGTCTAATGTGGATGAAGATGCTTGGGTCAAGGGTTAACGCGTGAGATAAGCCCAGTCTCTGTGGAGCAGTCACGAATTTCCGTTCGATATGTTGTGTTCAGTTTTTTTACCCTTTCAAGACGGATTTAAAATGTTTTCGTGGTACAACAAAACAATTTAAATCCGCCTTGTGACGTAATTGCGGTAATGCCACGTGTTCAGGGCTATTTTCTGTGGTATTTTATCAACAATAAGTGAAACTGACCCAATTGTTCATTTCCAAATGCAATACTCATTGTTTTGATGCAAAAAAAACGCCAAATGGAAAAAACATTCTTATAAAAATTTCAAAAAAACAATTAAAATCATATTAATCAGAATTTAAAACCAACAATTGAAACATTTTTATAAAACACAAACAATTAACATCATCTTTTCAATTGAAAAAATCATTTTCTCAATGTAAAATAGAAAAATACAAAAAATAATCCTTTTTACATCCGATAAAATCGAAAGATTGTTTTTTTCTCAATGGAAAAAAAATTTTTTTTTTCTTTTACTTAAGCGCAAAACCTACAGATTTATACAGCTGTCAATAGAAAAAAAGAAAGTATATATATAATATAATTTACATCTTATTGTAGTATCAAAGTTGTGACATTTCTTCCTTAAATTGAACATTTCTTTTTTTTCTTTTTTTTTCCTCAATGGAAAAATGAAAAAAAAATTCTATTTTAAATTGTCATAATTGTATCAACCAAATAATTAAAATCATATTTTCAATTTTAAAAATCATTTCCTCAATGTAAAATAGAAAAATTAGTGAAACTGACCCAATTGTTCATTTCCAAATGCAATACTCATTGTTTTTATGCAAAAAAAAACGCCAAATGGAAAAACATTCTTCTAAAAATTAAAAAAAACAATTATCATCATCTTTTCATTTTAAAAACTTATTTTCTCACGATAAATAAATAGAAAAATACAAGAAATAATCCTTTTTGCGTTCAGAAAAATTCAAAAAATTGTTTTATTTCAAATTATCTTTGTTGGATAGAAAAAAGACAAGAGCCCATGGCATTTGCAGTTGTTCCTTAATTGATCTTAATTACGACTTAGTATACGTCGACTCGTATTACAACTGAGTCATCACGAAAATTTCAGTGACAGTAAGTTTACCAGGCTCAAGAATTTTATTTGTGTTTCATTCGGGTGTATAAATCGACTCGTAGGATGTTTAACTTCATTCAGACATCACAACGGGGGTTTGATTGTTTACGGTAGATATTCAAACAAGAGTGAATGAAAAAAAAATTACTGAGAACATAATCGGAGCTGAATTGAGCTGCCGAGGGGGGAAACGTAAACAGTAGATTTAATTTCTGAAATCTCCGGGGTTATTCTAATTGAGTTGGTGGGAGAAAGTGAATAACTATAATAATTTTGATAAATGAGGTTGAAGTTTAACGATATCTCGGGATCTATGGGAGATAGCGAAATTTTTGTAACGACATTTTTTGTGGGGAATTTCAAGGGCCACAAAAAATATTTCGGGACATATTTTCGTAAACCTCGTCATTAACGAGATATGCGCGAATGAACGCGGAGAGTAATTTTTGATTTGTTCGATTTTGCTCTACCAAATGGCTGAGAATCTCGAAAACTACTGGGTTTATAAAAAAATGTCACTAAACATTTTTCTAGAGAATCAAATTTCCATAGAAAAATGTCATATGAAAATATCTCATAACTCCAGCCGTTATCAAGATAACCAACGATAAACATCGTTATCCAATCAGTCCCCATCAAATTTCTTGAATACAATTTTTATTAAATGGTTAAACATCTCGAAAACTACTGGATTCGCAAAAAAGTGTCAAAGAACTTTTCTCTAGAGAATTCAATTTCCAACAAAAGATGTTTTATGACATTTTCCCGTAACTCCCCTCATAATTAAAATAATCAGCAATAAACATCTTTACTCAGTCAATTTACCTCAAAATTTTTGCATAAAAACTTTATTAAATCATTGAAAATCACAAAAATTACTCCATTCATTGAAAAATGTCAGAGTACAATTCTGCAGAGGATTAAGTGTCCCAAAAAAGTCCCGCAACATGTGATCCCCCAAGAGATACCCAGGTTTCTGCATAAAAAAAAAAGATAACGAAAATAAATTTTCCTAATGCATAAATTTGCATTCTCCTCCCGTCAAGACGGATCGCCCGATCTCCATCTGATTTTGTGTTTACCCCGATTGAACGACTCCGCAGCACGCAATGGGGTAGATAAAATCGAGGGGTGGAATGAATCATCGTCGCAATAAAACCGACGACGGATCGATATCGGACTTCTCCCCCTCACTGAGCGCTTTTTTCCCTCCTTCATTTTTCCAGAGCACGCGTAATCCAGGAGTATCGGACAAACCAGTGGTGAAAAAAAAATCATTCTGTCGTTTGGATGCCAGTGAGGGAGTGATGCAGAGGACGATGAAAACGCTGCGGTTAGCATGATTAAAACTCGTGGCTGGAGAATTGTTCTGTTTCTGCTGATTCTCGAGGCACTCGAGGCTGTCACCGTTGTTGATCAGTACTCGGACGACGATGATTACGTACTTGAACATGAAGTCACGTATGACGAGGCACTGGAGAAGGCGAGAGATCTCACTTTGTCGAAAGGTTTTGATAAATCATAAATTATTAATAAATTAATTAATTTCATCGAATTGAATTGAATCGAATTTAATTTAATTTCAGCAATTCACTCAATAAAATAAATTATTAATTATCATTATAATTATTAATTGTTATTACAACTGCTGATTATCAGGTGTGTCATTCAATGTAATTAATATTTAATTTGATTTAGCTATTCGTTGATGAAGTGATTTTTGAAGAATCCATTTTTCAGTTTTTAAGTAATTAGTTTTCTGGAGATATCTCGATATCTGTGGGAGATGGCGAGATTTTTGTGAATACTTTTTCTCTAGAAAATTTTGAGAGCTGCAAAAAATTTTTTGTGACAAATTTCCGTAAACTTCGTAGTTGACGAGATATTCGCGAAATAATGCGAAGAGTAATATCTGTTTACTGTTTTTCTTCTTGAAACGACAGTTTGAGTCTTCTTATCATCGCGAATAAATAATCCAGTGTCCTCGAAGGGTAAGAAGACCCCTCCCCTTCAATAATGAGACTCCTTGTTCGCCAATAGCGTATCAAATTCCAGGTGTTCCATTCAGATTTATTTTTACCTCGATTATCCCAATATTGAAACTTTTTTTTTTTTTTTTTCTTATTTTATATCGCTTCGAGTCTGATGAGACTATATGGCGATTGATCAAGACTTTAAAAATGGTTAGATCTCACCATTCTACCCGGCCAGGAATCGAACCTGGAACCTATCCGTTGTGAGGCAACGGCCTTAACCACTACGCCAGGCCACCGGGCAATATATTATATATTGAAACTTGAAATAGAAAAATTTATGAATAATATTGGAATATTTCTTTGATGCAGAGATAGCCATATTCATAAATCATAATTGCCATCACTCTTAAACTTTTAATTATTCAAGTAATCATCAACTTAAATATTCAAATTTTAATTTTAATTTTAATTTTTAACGATTTTATTAATCAATAATTTAGGCAGGAGGATTGCGGATTACTTGTTTAATCGATAATGCCTTTTAAGAAATTTACAGATATTCACTTAATGAAAAATTTACAGTTGTATATTATCAAATATTTAATTCATCGTCGATCAGACATTTAAACGATTAATATTATATTATTTTTAAATTTTAATGAGTACATTCAAACATTTATCAATATAAATCGCAAATCCATTTACTAGAAAGATAATTTTAAATAGTTAATCATAAAAAATACTATTTGTTATAATGATTTCAAGTCTACCATGTTTCCTGACCTAATAGTATCTATTAAATTATATTTCTGAGATTATAAATATTATATTTTATTCTCAAAAATGTAAAGTTCGATGAAACGTTTGTCCTTGCATAAATTTATTCGTTGCAAGGAACTATTTGAATACTTCATTTCTCGAAGCTAGAAAACACTTTGAAGTTTTAAATAGAATTTCTCTCTTGAAAAAATTGTCAAATATATTTGATGACTCCGAAAACACAATTTTAAATCGTTAATCATAAAAAATACTATTTTAAATTATTATTTCAAATTCGTCATGTTCCCTGACCCAATAGTATTCATTAAATTGTTCCTGTGAGTTAAATGAAATAGAGATGTTACATTTCATTCTCAAAAATAAAAATCGCAATAAAATTGCGAATAAAATGGAATAAAAACCGGAGTTATTGAAATGAAACGTTTGTCCCCGCATTACGAGGCGAAACAATCGCCAATTAAGGTGTACCCATTCCCCCTGAAAATTCGTGTAATTTATCCATTAATTGGTAACGACTGACGGTAATTGCGAGATGGGATTATCATTGAGTCCTGATGTTTTTTTTATTATTTCCTCAGGTCCGATACCTGGCTGCAGAACCTGCACGTACGAGGAGATGACATACTGCAAGGACGGAAGTGTCATCAGCGATCATTGTTGCTGCGACGGTGGTTACCACAGTGCGTTCTTAATTATTTTTCCAAACTGGGTTTTATGAGATTCAGAGCATCAATCCTCGAGATTTCCGGTGGTTTTATTGTTCAATGCGCTCGTTATGTCGATAGGGACGACGAAATACAATTCAGATAGAGAGAAACGTAATTTTTTTCGCATAAAATATGAGATTTCTTCTCTTTTTTTGTGAATAAAATTTTTTTTATTTCATTTTTCCTTTTTAAATAAAAGTTAATTGAGTTTTCGATATTTCTGATGATTTTATGAGTTGCGCTTATTGAATTCACGCAAAATTAGAGGAAAAGTAATTTTTTTTTCATTAAAAAAATTGAAATTCAATTTTTTAAATTAGGTTTTATGAGATTCAGGGAATTGAATACTTGATTTCCAGTGGTTTTATTGTTCAATGCACCTGTTACGTCGATAGGAACGACGAAATACAATTCAGATAGAGAGAAACGTGATTTTTTTCGCATGAAACATCAGATTTTTCTCTTTTTTTTGAGAATGCAATTTTTTTTAATTTTTTAAACAAAAGTCAATTGAGTTTTTATGATTTTAGGGATTCACTACATTTATTGAATTCACGAAACAATGCAGATTGAAAAAGGTATAAAAATAGAGGAAGAAATCACTTCTTCACATGAAAAAATAGAGAAAAAATGATTTTTCTTCATAAAAAAAAATTGAAATTCTATTCTTTACGGGAGAAACAGTTTTTTTTCCTCAGTTGAGGTATTGTGACAAGTCTATTGCAATTCGACCTTCGATCACGGGATCGCGTGTCAACCCGTGCGTGAAATATCCCAATGTAAACGAAAAAAACTTCATTTTGTCATCGAATTACTGAAGAATCAGATCGCACAATCGATTTGTATCGTTTGGTGGCAAAAAATGACACCGTTTCGCTTCGTGTAGTCGAACTGATCACATTTCATTTTCTATACAGTATTGAAATTCCCTCATAAAGGCAACCTTTTGTCAGAGATTAAAAAAAAGAAAAAAAAAATTTTTTTCAACATCAAAAATCAACTTTTTGTTGATGTTTTGTCAATATTTCCGCCTAAAGATACTCATTATCGAGCTAAATCCCCCGAAATTTTCAATAAACTCAACAATTTCAATCAGAAATAGGAGAAAATCCAGAATAAATTTTTTTTAATTTTCAAATTTTCTCGAAAATGACAAATTTTACGTAAAAAAAATAAATCTGTCTACAGAATTACCTTTCCAATAAGAAATGTCTGACATATTCTCCTGGAACCCTTCATTACAGAGAAAAATTCTCTAAAAACATCAATAAACTCACAATTTTCATCAGAAATAAAAGAAACGAACAAATGACATTTTCGCTAATTATTCAATTATCTCAAAACAGAGTAGTTCTACCAAAAAACATGGAAAGACCTTTTCCACAGAGAATTAAATTTCCAATAAAAAATGTCTAGTGACCCATTCCCCTAAAACCCCTCGTTCTCTAAATAAATCACCTCAAAACTGAGGAAAAATTCATAAATTCATTCAACACATCGAAAAGTTGGCACCAAGTTACGAGTGATAGAGTGCAATAGCCCGATCCAATAGAATTGCGTTGCTGCACGCAGTACCTACGTGCCTAGAATATCCACAATAAAATACCGATCAATAGGGAAGGGTCAGGCATTCGCATCGTCTAATACAAGAGGACTGCGAAATGTGGTAAAAGTGTTCTTCCAAGAATTTCTAAACTTTTCGACATTGCACAATTTTTTGTTCATTTGAATATTCGAAGAGCTACACTGAGAGAAAAACGACAAAGTTCTCAAACAAGTCTTACTTGTGTCGAGAAAATAGTCTTTTGAAAATTACCAAAAAGGTTTTTTCTGTGCCAAACATGCGGTGAGTGCGCCGGAATGAAAAATTTTTCTCGCAAAAATAGATTTAGTAGTTCAAAAAAAATTGCATTCTCTGTAGACGCGAGAAATGTCATTTCTAGCACTACTCCTTCGTTATTCGATACTCCCATACGTATTTTGCTCCAACAAATGAACCCTTAAATGAAACAATAATAATGATATGATAGCAATCGTGTAACTTAGGGATAAAATATTTGTTGATAAATTTTCCTTTATGAGATATTTTCATCCTGAAAGGGCACCGTCTGGTGTGAATTATCCGCCTCTTGAGTCAAATATTTCGTTGCTGTCGAAAGCAGAACAATCATTCATGTTGGAGACTTTTAAATTCGAACCAAACAAATTCTTTTTTGGCAATTTTCAACTAGCGATTTTGTCGGCCCAAACAAGACTTGTTTGACAACGTGTTTGTTTTTCTCTCATTGTACGGCTCATGATGAGTACGTCATAGTAGGTCGAAGCAAATCAGCCTCTTATCCGGAATTGATAAACCACCGGAAGAACCTCACCTCATCAATGATATAATACAAGACGTCGCTACAGGTCGATGAACCTCAATTCATTCTGCCCCACATGCTCTATTTAATATCCTCGAGTCATTAATCCTCGGTTTAAAAAATTTCGTCTCAAATGCGAGTGGCGGATTGAATGTAGAGTATTAAGGAGTTAATTAAGTGAATAATCAGGTCGGATTAACCGAAATATGTTGACAGTATGGGTTCAGAACGTTTGGAATGAGTTTCTTCGTTAAAAGAAGACGAATTTCAGTCGATTTTGTAAATATTTGCGAAAGTAATAGATCTAGAGAAAAATGTGAAAAGATCTTTTTTGTAGAGAATTTCATGGACTGCAAAAAATATTTCAGAGTGTTTTTGGATAAATCTAGGGGTTTCGGAGGTATTTGCGAAGTAATGAAGGTGAAAGTGTCGAAATTATGTGTTTCAATTTATTAATAATTATTGTTTCAACCCTCAGGAGCTTTTCCATTCGTACAACACACGTGTCTAGTTGGCAAAAAGGTCTGCACAGTGGCAGCTGGAGACTGCGCTGAGTACGAGAGACTCAGGGAATGCTGTTGCCATTCATACCTAGGCTCCGATTGTAAGTGGAATTTTTAAAAATCAATTCTCTTGAAAATTTCTTCGAAAATCCCAAAAATTACAGTATTCGAAGCAAAAAATCCCCAATAAAATGAATATTAAAGAAAATAAGAGAAATATTTGTCATGACGATCCCCATTATACCCCTCGTGACCCTTGTTTTGACCCGGATGACCCTTATTTTGACCCCGTGACCCTTATTTTGAACCTCATTACCCTTAATCTGACACTTGCGGCCCTTAATTTGACCCTCCTGACCCTTATTCTGTCCCTCATGGCCCTTAATCTGACCCTTGTGCCCGTTAATTTGACCCTCATGACCCTCATTCTGTCTTTTATGACCCTTATTGACCCTATTGACCCTTATTTTGACCTTCATCTGGCCTTTGTGACCCTTAATATGACCTCGTGATCCTCATTTATTCTATCATGACTCTTACTCTGACCTTATTGACCCTTATTTGATCCCGATGATCCTTATTTCGACCCTCACGACCCTTATTTTGACCCTCACGATCCTTATTTTGACCCTCTTGATCCTCAATTTTGGAGTCTTAATTTCGAGTACCAAATTTTCATCACCAGAAGTCCATTCGGATTTTTATAACACAAAATACCCAAAAATCCACCAGAATATTGCATTTTTTTTTTCGTCATTAATTAACAGTTTTGTTACATTTTTAGGGAAATATCGAGCTGGTGGAGCTGAAGCCATAAAACCCGCAGTCCTCACGACAGGACTATTATTGTTATTCGGATACCTCTGGAAGATCGTCTAAACCACTCTAGATTTATATTATTTTATATATACTGCCTGCTTACAAACAAATAAATTATTTTTACATCGCCATGATAAAAAAAATGTCGTCAATTACCCCAGAGAGATCAAAAGAATTGCCTCCTGACATGCAAGCCATTGTCCATTCACCTGAGGAAATGATAAATGCCGGAATTTTCACGTGGGAACCAGCCAATCTCGAAGCAAAGAGCATAACTCGGAGATAATTGCGGATAAATGTGTAAAAAGTGTAAACAAAATGGTCGTACTTGGGGACGATGATAACTGAGTTGTCACATTTTTTTTTTTTTCGTGAGAGAAGAAAAATATTGAATAAGTGATTGACTATCGACACGTGGAGACGATTGGAGTGAGTATTCATTCAGGAATATCAGCGGCAAATTGAATAAATAAAAAGTATCGGTGAATTATCAGTTCCGTTGATAAATAATGAGAATCCATCATCATTTATCGGGTGTTCTTCATTATTTCTTGAGTGGGGGAAATGTTGCGAGGAAAGTGGAGCACTCGTTGAGATGTAAGTGGAAAACAATCGCTGAAAGATGGGGAATAAACACTTTTCATTACAATCAATGAAACTGTTCAGCTCTGGTATGTTAATAATTATGATTAAAGTTCACGGGATGTTCGCGTCGAGAGCCTGATGAAGCTAAAATAATTAGCGAAACGTCGCACATGTGACAATTTGGTCGACGATGGAATTATTTCACGTGAATAATTGTGAATTTTTAACAACAACAATTAATTTCTGGTATTTTCAATGAAATTGAGAGATGAAAATTATTGAAAATTTTGAGAATTCAAGTGAATGGGACATTAAACTTGACAGTGAGTTTGAGAATTCATGCTGTCATTGAAACATCAATTAATAAAATGAAAAATAAAATTCTGTTGAATTTCCAAGATAAAATTTTTATGAATGATTGTCTTTAATTCAAATGCAGGTATTACTTGAATTTCAAGAAATTCCAAACATTGTGGATTATTCTTTCGGTTTTTATTTCATTACGAATGCTGGAGTTTTTATTTTCACTTTATTTTCAATTTTTATTGCTACAACTCACGATTTCTCCACTATTACCAAATATTTTCCTGAAGAATAAATTAATTCCTCTCTTAATAAATTCAAAGTCTACTTTTACCGAGGAAATCTGCATTACCAACTGTCAAGATATTACAGGAAATTTAGTATCTGATGTAAAAAAATACAATTATGAAATAACGAGCTAAAACTTCACGAAAAAACCGAAAATAAAGAGTATTTTTTATTCAAAAAAATGATGAATCAATTTTTTTCAGTTGCATAAATAAATATTATCACCCACACGTAATGATTAATTACGTAATTAACGTCAAATCGATAGTATCCCTATCTACCCCCTGATATTTAAAAATAAAAATCACAATTTCATAAGATCAATCCACTTCCAGTGATTCTCGCTCGAAAATGTCATTGCGAAATTCCTTCACCTGCACGAATAAATATTCACGAAATTCATCGATCCTGTTATCAGTCGCACATTGCAATCAATCACCCCATGAACATCGGACCGATAATTTCTGCATTACCCATGAAATTACTGAATGAGAAATCAGAGAAATTATGACGAGAAATTCCGGTTAATCTCCGCTAGATACGAATTCATGGATTGTTCCAGGTTCAAGGTCTAGGCTCGACACGTGCCTCATGCTGACGAATGCGCGAGGATTCGCAAAATCGCAGGAGCTTTACCCTCATTCATGCCATTTTTAGTCAGAAAAAAGGTGACGGAATTTCGAGTCACAAAAATGATTTAAAAAAAAAATATTCACGGTCGCTTTAACTAGCTGTTCGATGAGAAGATTTTCGAAATTATTTATCAAATGAAAAATTTTATACGACTGTTTTTTGCTTCCGAACGGAAGCATTGTATTCCTCAAAATTAAATTTTCTAGTTTTTCGTGTTAGGATGAGTAATTCTGGGTTCACTAATCAGAATATGATGTTTTTAGAGCACGTCCGATTGAGTCTTGCCACGATAATTTAAAAAATTATTGTCCATATCGATTGAATTTGCGCGAGAAATATTCGTATTTATGTTATTTAGACCGAGTTCGAACATAATTTCGATGCCATTATCAGTTTTCGAATTATAGCCAAAAAAACATGCGCCAACATTGGGCCAACCTTGCGCCAACATTGCGCCAACCTTGTGCCAACATTGCGCCAATCTTGCGTCAACTTTGAACTAATAGTGTTTTATCCTATGGGGGTCTTATGGGGATCTTAAATCCATTCGGAAGCATATTGCTAATTTAATAGCAAAAACAGGTACAATAATTGTTAAATAAATAAATAAATAAATAAAAGTTCTGCGAAATAAAGTAAGTGAAAATATTCCGTTATTCGAATACAAAATAATGTGGGTATGAAACACTCCCAACTAATTGGTGTTTGGAAGAAAAATCCTCTTTCAAAAAAATTCACACCTTCAACTGATGAAATAAACTTGGAAAAATATTGTTTAATATTGTATTCAGATAGAATAAAACATTAAATATGAATTCTAAACCGTTTGCTTAGAAATTTTGAACGAGAGAAATTCAATTCAAAGTAATTTTTATTTAGAATTTTTGAAATATTGCGGATAAAATACTATTTGAATAGTAAATTACGAAAAACTATTTTTCTCATCGTGATTGACTATTCAAAATCGTCTCCATTACAATAGGTTTTCCATTTTCTACCTTGTTTTCCTACTATCCTACACTGTACTAGAAAAATCCGGCAAAAAAATGCTCGCCAGGATCGTTCTTTTAATAGAAATCTGCTCATCTCTCGTGCTTGCCGTCCGAACGCTCAATGATTATGACGCAAATCATTGAATGGAACAACTAGTATCGAACTGCGAAATTCTGGCTCCGAAAAACAAATTCTGTTTACGCATTTTGCGACCTTTCGCACGGGGAATATCTTAGCCCACTCAACAATTTCATTCAGAGAATGACGATGTGATATATGAATTATTTTCAATTCTTAATGTCAATTTTAATATTTTCAACATTAAACTTTTCTATTTTCAATCTCTGCCAAAGCAAATAGAGAATAAAATAAAATCCAATTCTCCGTTTGTTTTAATTTGATTTAAAGAGAAATAATGTTTTTTTTTTCATTAAAAAAAAAAGAAACCAAATTGCATTGAATCATTCAAGTAATTATTTTCCCCTCAACAATCAGCTGTTGAGTTGCATTTCGAGTCATCAGCAAAGATATTCCGGATAATTCCTCGAGTGAATGAACAAGTTTTTTCCCTGAAACAACTTTTTTCCGCGAGAGATAAAAAAATTCAGGAGTGCTATTAAAATAATTCACACGATCGAGAGACGAAAAAAATAAAACATGCGATAAAAAAATGAAACAAAGAGACGTGGTTTGACACAGTGCACTCGAAAACCTGTTCACCACATTATGCAATATACCCTCGGAAAAGGAGAAGGTAAAAAATATATATAAAAATGAGAGGAAAAAAAAGTGTGGTGCACACGTGGGATAAAATGCACTCGAGATGAGGTCGCGCACGTGGCGTTTCGGAGAGACCCATTATTCCAAGGCGTCTCATTTTTCTTTATTCCGCTTTTAACAAGACATTACGACACTACCGATACAGACATCAAGATCATCGTTGCACTCAATAAACTTTCAACTCAATAATAAACTAAAATTTCAATGATAAGCTAATCTGTTATTTCATAATTAATTTTGGATTATTTCACCTCCCACTCCCCATTTTTCACTCTGAGGCAGACGTTTGGTGCAGGACAAAGTCGTCGGAAAATAATTGCATTTCACTTTTTTTTTCTTTAACATTTTTTTCGGTAATTGTTTAAATTCAATTTTTTAAATTTAAATTCTTTAAATTCTTGAGAAAAAACAGTTTTTCAATTTACATTAACTTATTTTTTAGTTTTTTTATTCAATAATAATAAAGTAAAATAAACAATAATAAAATAAAATTTCAATGATAAACTAATCTGTTATTTCATCATTAATTTTGGATTATTTCACCTCCCACTCCCCATTTTTCACTCTGAGGCAGACGTTTGGTGCAGGACAAAGTCGTCGGAAAATAATTGCATTTTACTTCTTTTTTTCTTCAACATTTTTTGCGGTAATTGTTGAAATTCAATTTTTTAAATTTAAATTCTTTAAATTCTTGAGAAAAAACAGTTTTTCAATTTACATTAATTTATTTTTTAGTTTTTTTATTCTACTTTTTTTTGCTACATTTTGTTCGTTAATTTTATAAATTCTCAATTCTTGAAGAAAAAAAACAGTTTTCAATTTTTTTCTGTTAGAAAATTTAAATTCAGTTATTCAATTATTTATTTATTCTTTGGTAATTATAAATTGTTTTTCTTTGTTTCGCACCGTCAAGAGTCTTTCCCTCTCTAGATAAAATAATATTCACAACAATAAATTATTATTTGAAATTTTTATAATTAATTGTTTTAAAAAGAAATCCTATTCAGAAAAATTTATTTCAATTAACGAAAAACATTTTAAAAAATATTGTTTCATTTTGTATTCTGCAGGACAAAATAATATTTTCATAAAAATAAATTATTATTTGAAATATTCATAATTAATTTCAGATTATTTCACCTCCCCCTCCCCTTTTTTCCACTCTGAGGCAGATGTTTGGTGCAGGAGAAAGTCATGGGAAAATAATTGCATTTTTTTTTTAATTACATTTTTTCTACTAATTTTAAAAATTTTCAATTCTTGAGCAAAAAAAATTTGCAATTTTTTTCTTCTGTTAGAAAATTTGATTTTTAATTTTTGCGTTTAGAAAATGCAATTTCTCAAATTGTTATTTTTCAAATTGGGTTTTGAAGTATCAATTACGGAATGAATTCCGTCTAGACAGTAATGAGAAGAGCACCCGCTAATTAGAGAGGAGCCTGTAATTTTGTAACAAATGGGTTGAGACACCTTAGAACCGAAAAATTTCTGTCTCTAGAATGGGCACCGGGGGCAAAATTCCCGCTCGAAGCTAGATCAGAGTTCGTTTACACACAAAAGGCAATGGCACGTGCCCTTGGAATTCGTTCACAATACGATTTTCGCGAAATCACGTGCAAGAATCGAGAAAAAATCTTAAAAAGTAGTTTTTTCTTGTTCTCAAAAAAAAATGACAATTTCATTTTTATCGACGAAAATTTTTTTGACAGTCAATTAAATATTCGTATCATTTAAAAAAAAATTAATTGATCAATTGTTCAATTATTTTTCACAAAATCTAAAAATGAATTTTAAAAAACGATTTCTCATTCTTTGGAATAAAATTCTATTTTGGAAATGAATTTTCTGGTTTAATTTTACATTAAAAAAATTTTCTGATTATTCAATCATTTCGTGATGAAAAAAAACATGAAAAGTGTTTTTAAAAATTTATGAAATTTATGAATTGTTCTCAGCAATAAATTTTGTATTTGTTATAAAAAATGTCGTCCTCATAATTAACGTAACATAATTAAATATTGGTGTTGCTTCAAAAAAATAATTTTCATTGATTGACTATTCAATCATTTTTTTTAAATCTAGAAATGAATTTTAAGAACAATTTCTCATTCTTTGTAATAAAATTGCATTTTAGAAAGGAATCTTCTGTTTTAATTTTGCATAAAAAAATTATATTTCCGATTATTCATTTATTTTGTAATGCAAAAAAACACATGAAAAATGTTATTAAAAAATTGATTAAATCAATAAATTGTTCTCTGCAATCAATTAACTATTAATGTTGCTTCAAAAAAATAATTTTCATTAATTAATAATGAATTCAATTATTTTTCAAAAAATCTGGAAACGAATTTTAAAAACGATTTCTCCCTCTTCGTAATAAAATTCTATTTAAAAAATAAATTTTCTGCTTCAGTTTCTCCCAAAAAAATGTCAATCACGTTATGTTAAAAAAACATAAAAAATATTTTTAAAAATTGATAAAATCTGTGAATTATCTTACGAATTGTTCTCTGGACTAAACTTTCTACTCGTAAAAAAAAGTCTTTCTCATGTCCCAATCCTGCATTAGAGTGTAACTCGCGCCTTTCAGAGCGAGAATATTTCATCCCACAAACCCCCAATAAATCCCAAAATTGATTGAACACAGAATCTCCTCACTCCACCGAAAAAATAAAAATAGCAAAAAAAATTGTCTAGACGACTAGGGACTGGACGACCTCGCTCGCTGATTTCCGACAGTCGCAGGACTCCTCTGTGCGTCACAGCCCCCACCCTGGCCCCCTCGAAACATCAATTAACCCATCAATGATTCATTCATTCTTATCTCCACCATAGAAGCAATCAATGAACGAAAAAATAAAAAAAGTCGGCAGAATTTTTTTTTGTTTTTCTCACATCAGTGACAGCGAGGGAGGAGACGCTACAACTCTCCTCCGCATCCACGTGTCCCCTTCTATTGGTGGAGGTGGGCTCTGTCAACTCGCCGGGGGTAGCTTCAGATCGTATATAAGGGAATCGTCTTCCCGTATGCACAACGCAAATGCAAATCGTCTGTGTATGCAACAAGTCCTTTGAGCGAACAATTATTTCCTTCAAAAAAAAAAAATCCTCCGATCGTTGAAACGAAAGAGCAATTTTAATTGAGAAAAATCATTCAGCTGAGAAATTTTATTCACTTGAGGAGAAAAACTGTCAGTGAAGATGAAGAAGAAGACTAAATAGATGATGAAGAGTTTTTATTATTTAAAGAAAAAATTTTTTTGGGAAGAAATTTGATGGAAAATTTAGGGAATGAGAATTACTGAGGATCAGAGGATTGGAAATATGTTAAGTTGATTGGGATTGCTGATGTTTTCGCGGGAAATCGGTGATTGAAGTACTGTGGGGACTAGAGTGAAATAATTACTGAAATGGGAGAGACGGCCGGTGCTATTTTGCCGGTGGGGTCCTGGGTGACGTTGGCACTGTCACTGGGAGTGATCTCGATGATTGTTGGACTGTTTGCGAGGAGAGCCATGTTTTTGCATTCGTTGAGAAATGTGCCATTTCCGTCGGCGCTGCCGATTATTGGGAATGCGTATCAACTTAATTGCAGTCTTGAAGGTTTGTTAACTATGGATTTTTTATTATTTGTGTGAAAAAATTGAGTTCATAGGGAAAATACAAAATTAACAAAATGTTTTTTCAATTTTTCCAAAAAATGTAATCGTTCAATTGACAATTATCTCGGTAATTAATTATTGCATAAAAAAATGTTATAGAGAATTTTTTTTGGAAATTTCATTTTCTATAAAAAAATTTATTTGACATTTTCCTCTAAAATCTCTCATTAACGAGATAGTAACAAAATAAACAGAATGTTTTTCCAACTTCTCCATTAATTTTTGCAAAAAAACATCATCGTTAAATTGCCAATTATCTCGGTAATTAATAATTTCATGAAAAAAAGTTATGAAGAATTTCTGTTGGAAATTAGATTTTCTACAAATAATTGTTTCTCACATTTTCCCCTAAACCCACTCATTAACGAGATAATTACCAATACCAATAATGAATTCTCCACTTCAACAAAAAATTTACCTCAATAAATTCCCCTGATTATTATCAGTCCTAGCCCCTCCCCTTGGACCCGAAAACCCGTTAAAAATGTCCCCAAAAATCATCGCGAATTCCCGTTTATGGCGAAAAAAAAAATGAATAAATAATTTGCCAAAGTTCAAGGTACCCATGTCAGGTTGCATTGTCAACCTCCCCCGATCTCCATTGTTATGATCATAAGTGCCAGTACACGTGCGAGACCCAAAAACGGGGACGAGGATAAAAAAAAAGAGAGATACCCAAACAAGAGGCGTGCAGAATTCACGATTATACGACTCGACGCGCGAAGACGTCCGGCCTCGACCTCCTTCCTCATCTCTCCTCGTGACCGTCCCCTTTCTCCCTCACAATAAATTTCTTTTTCTCATTTAACCCATCTCGTCTCATTCGTCCTCGTACCATCGAGTGCAACTGAGAACATCGCATTGACCCCACGAGAATTTATGGGAACAAATTTACAAGAAGAAATTCGACACGTGCAGCAACTGCAGAGGGAAATTTGCTAATGGGTTGCGTCATTGGCCTAAATCTCCCAGACGGTGGAGTTGAGTGATCTCTCACTTTCTTCAATCGTTATTGTGAATTTAAGTCCATTACAGAGATTTATTGTTATTCATTTTTAATATTGTTTTTTAAGGTGACTAAAAGTTGATCAAAATTTATATATTTGATTGTTATCTTTAATTTTTAATTTTATTGAAATGAAATGATTTATTTACTCATTATATTTCCATTCTTTTTGTGATTTTCTAATAATTTATATTTATTCAACGATTTTGGTATAATTATTTGCGAAAATTGAAAATGCAATGTTTCTAATTTTGAAATTATCTCAAAAAATAATTTTACAATCTCAAATTATTCTAAAAAAATTCTAGCTTAATCTGCAATAATTATTGATATTTTAACCGGAGAAAACGCAAAATTAACAAAATGTGTTTCCAATTTTTGCATCAATTTTTGCAAAAACTATAATCGTTCAATTGACAATTATCTCAGTAAATAATCATTTCAGCAGAAAATGTTATAGAGAAGTTTTGTTGGAAATTTAATTATCTACAAAAAATTTCTTCTGACATTTTCCTCTAAAATCACTCATCAACGAGATAATGACAAACAAAGAATAACTGCAAAATCAAATGAAACGAAAATGGGGAAAATTAAGTAAAACGAGGGAAAATTCATTCTTCTGCTGCACGAGAAAGACAGATTTGCCCAATCGTGCGATTAATGGAATGAACGCATTGTCTTAAACTTGAAAAAAAAATTACGACAAAAATTTAAATGAAAAATTGGAGAAGAAAACTAAAAAGATGATGAATTTTATATTAATGTTTCTAAAATGAGTTTCATACTCAATACTTTTTCGTCACTTTCAGACTTCTTCAAGAAATTGGTGGAGTGGAGCAAGGAGTTCGGGGACATCTACCTGCTGTGGCTGGGGCCCAGACCCATGGTGTTTGTCTACCGGGTTGAAGGGGTCCAGGCCCTCCTCAGCAGCAGCGTGCACATTGATAAGAGCCTCGAGTACCTGTATCTGAGACGATGGTTGGGTAATGGACTCGTTATCAACGGAGGTGAGTAGAATAATCCATTGAAATGCTATTGAATTGTCGCATGAATATTTTTTATCGAATTAAATCCATCGATTGATAGCGAAAAATGTGACGAAAAATGTTGAATACATTTTTTTTATTTTAAAAAATCAGGAAATTGTAAATTTCATCGAGAATTCAATGAGGTTTCAAATTTTTAGCAGCAGGAGGACGAGAATTCCCCAAATTATGCAGAATTTTGAGTGGATAAAATATTCATCCAAATTTTCTTGATTTCTATTAATTTTTAAGGAATAGTTCAACTGAAATTTGATTTTTCATGATAATGGTCCAATGTTATAGCCAATATTTAATTAATTTTTAGTTATTCACTAAAATGAAAAATCATGTGTTCAATATTATTCATTCAATTTTTGCTCTACAATAAAAAACAAGTGGGAAATAGCTCTTGTATTGCATACAGTATAGTTATTTCTGCTAATAAATTAGCAATATGCTTCCGAATGATTATTTTGCACACCATTTCCTTCTATCATGTATAATGCTTTATTTATTTCATTTTATTAAATTGAATAAATTTCTTTTCAACTAATTTTGTCAGATTTTCAACTCAGTTGAATGTTATCATCATCATTATTCTTATTATCCCTTTCTTCTGTACAACCGATTGTCTTTTTTACGGTTCTATCTCTCCCCTCAGCCCTTCGATAAAATGTTAATAGAAAAATTTTATTTACACATACTTGAATGAATTTGAAACATCACATTTGAAGAAACCATCAGAAAGCTCACTTTCAGGGAAATTCATGAAAAATTCGAAATTTTCAACAATCATCATAAAAATCAAATCAATCAATATAGCTATAGTCATCATCTTTTAACTTCGACGTAATGGCATTAAAACAAACATTTTAAGCTATGATTGAATTCATTTGAAGCATGATATTCAAAGATATCCCCGGAATTCTGATTTTCAAAAAATACAAAATTTTTAAAAATTTTCAAATAAATCAAAATAACGATTATTGCTATCGCCTTCATCTTCGAACTCGGTCAAAAGGACATCCAAACAAATTTTTTAAGTCATCATTCAATCAATTCAGAACATTTTCTTTAGTTATCGTGAGACAACCCATTTTCGAAAAAACTCGAAAATTAAAAACCTAATCGATTAATTAAATTTCAATTAATGGCGCAACGGTAATTGATTTCTATTAATTTTTACGAAATAGTTCAACTGAAATTTGAATTTTTGAATACTGAATTTACAGATAAATCAACATGTGCATGATAACGTCACAATATTTCGTACATGCACTTTTTAAATTTTTCATTGATTACCAAAGTATAAAAAAAACCTTGAAATTTCAGAGGAAAAATTTCAACAGCGAAGTTTCGAATAACAAAACAAACATACGTGCTCAATAAAAAAAACATTATGTCATCTCCATCTGCATCAAATGTTGCATGAAGCATTCATAAAAATAGTATTTTCATTGAATTTTTATAAAATAGTGCCCGACCCCAGCAAAGAAGCGTGATTAATGCCGGCGGCTCGCAAGATTGTTAACACGAGTAGTTCAGAATATAAATAATTCATCCAGTCATTGAATACTGAAGTGCATTGAATATTGAAGTTCCATTATTCTATTGAAGACCACTCACGAGTTGCTATCGAGGACTTCCAGCTAATTATAGCCTCCTAATGACATTATTTATCATCCCATCGATTGAAGTAGTTTAAAAATTATTCACCATTTCATTAAAAGTGATAATAGAAGAATATAAAAATATGTTCATGGCAACTACATACAAGTTAACAGAAAAGCCAAGTTCATATGTAAATAATACTCGGATGAAGTTAGGTAAATGATCCAACGACAGATTAATATTTATCAATAAAAAAAAATCAATTGAAGTATCAGACGAATATTTTTTTGTTCATATACACTGAGAGAAAAACAAACACGTTGTCAAACAAGTCTTGTTTGGGCCGGCAAAATCGCTAGTTGAAAATTGCCAAAAAAGAATTTGTTTGGTTCGAATTTGAATGTCTCAAACATGAATAATTGTTCTGCTTTCGACAGCAACGAAATATTTGGCTCAAGAGGCGGATAATTCACACCAGACGGTGCCCTTTCAGGATGAAAATATCTCATAGAGGAAAATTTATCAACAAATATTTTATCCCTAAGTTACAAGATTGCTATCATATAATTATTATTGTTTCATTTAAGGGTTCATTTATTATCTGTGATTATTAGACCGCCGAAACAAAAAATTACTGTCCCTTGTTTCGCATAAAACAAAGATTTTTCGGCAGCAAAATACGTATGGGAGTACACGGAGAGAAATTTTCTAGAAAAATTCTAGTACGAGTACTCCCATACAACAAACACGTCAAACAAGTCTTGTTTGGACCAACAAAATAGTTGAAAATTGCCAAAAAAGAATTTGTTTGGTTCGAATTTGAATGTCTCAAACATGAATAATTGTTCTGCTTTCGACAGCAACGAAATATTTGGCTCAAGAGGCGGATAATTCACACCAGACGGTGCCCTTTCAGGATGAAAATATCTCATAGAGGAAAATTTATCAACAAATATTTTATCCCTAAGTTACAAGATTGCTATCATATAATTATTATTGTTTCATTTAAGGGTTCATTTATTATCTGTGATTATTAGACAGCCGAAACAAAAAATTACTGTCCCTTGTTTCGCATAAAACAAAGATTTTTCGGGAGCAAAATACGCATGGGAGTATCGAATAACGAAGGAGTAGTGCTAGAAATGACATTTCTCGCGTGTACAGAGAATGTAATTTTTTTTGAACTACTAAATCTATTTTTGCAACAAAAATTTTTCATTCCAGCGCACTCACCGCATGTTTGGCACAAAAAAACCCTTTTTGGTAATTTTCAAAAGACTATTTTCTTGGCACAAGTAAGACTTGTTTGAGAAATTTGTCGTTTTTCTCTCAGTGTACATTGCGAAGTGTTCAGTATTAAGGTGTTTAAATATTTATTGATTGATTGATTGACTACTTTTATTACTGTACATTAATTTGTACAAAATACACAATGACATTTGTCATGCAGCGATTGCCAGAGTAAATAAACAGAAAGATTCAGTAATACTGTAAATAGCACACGCACACTGCAAGATTTCCGAAAATTATCAGCCTAGCAAAGCATAGGGTAGCACAGTTATGTTACATATTGTGAGGAAATTATTTATCACAGTGATACATTCTTTTTTTAATCAGACGAATACGTTGATGAGTTTATTTTTGTCTTTCAGGTGAATCCTGGCACTTCAGGAGAAAACTAGTCACTCCCACGTTTCACAGTGGACTCCTACTGGATTACCTGAAGAGAACGATTAGAGAGGCTAATATCATGGTCGCCTGTCTTGTCAATGAACTAGATAACGACGGATTTGACATCGTGCCTTACGCGAAACGTGCGGCGTTGGATTTAATTTGTGGTAAATTTCGTTGAAAACCTTAAAACCCTCAACATCTCATGACCCAACGATGCGATGTCAATAAATCTAGTATCATTTCAAAGCTTTAAAAAATACCTTCAAAATGAGAAAAAAATTGGCAAATTTGACTCAGCCAATCCTGAGTAATTAAAGTTTCATTTCACCCCTTCGCCCCTACATTTTTTACGATTTTGCGTAATACGATAAAACCGCATTTCTTGAAACATCAATATCTCCGGAACAAATGGAACTATTTGGACGACTCAGGTCTCGTTTTGAAGCTTAAAAAAATACCTTGAAATCGATGAAAAAATCGAAATATTTCACTCAGTCGTTTTCGAGTAATGAACGATAGAAAATTGTGGTTTTTCCTATTCTCTCTTATTCTGGCACCGGAACCAATTTTAATTGTCAGTCTTCATTGGCAATTAATTAACCATCATGACAACATTTTACATCTTCAGAAACAACCATGGGGTACCACATGAACGCCCAAACCATGCTGAACAACGATTACGTTCGCGCAGTAGAAAAGTAATAAATTTATTAAATAATTTTTCCCTCAAAAAAATTCCCAATTTCTTCATTTTCCTACTAAAGATGAATCAATCATTTCTAGAATGACTTCAATAATGCAGACACGTTTCACGAACATCTGGATCTCCATTGACGCGATATTCAACCTGACGTCCCTAGGAAAGGAGCACGAACGAGCCCTCAACGTGATCCACAGTTTTGTGGATAAAATAATAGCGGAGAGAAAGGAGCAGTGGAAAATAGCACGCGATGGGAATTTCAACGAGGCCACCAAGAAGCGTCCGGCCTTCCTGGATCTTTTGCTGGAGGTCTCCCAGGATGGAGCTGTTCTCAATGACAGAGACATCAGAGACGAAGTCAATACTTTCATGTTCGCTGGGCATGACACTGTCGCCACCAGTCTCTCCTGGTTTTTTTATGCTCTGGGACTTCATCCTGAGTATCAGGTACATCATCATGAAATTTCCGGATCCATCGGATTTTTCATGATTTTTTAAATTGATTTTTTGACATTTTTTTTGCTTCCGAATGGATTATTTTTGTCATTTTTGAATTTAAAAGAATCAATAGTGATAATAACAATATTATTATTAACATTATTAATGAATAATAATATTCATATAATCAATTAATAATAATATGTAATTCGTCGATTATTTTTTTTTAATTTTCGAAAATCCGTTGTCCCACGATAACTAAAAACAAAAAATGTTCTGAATTGATTGAATGATGGCTTGAAAAATTTGTTTGGATGTCCTTTTGACTGAGTTGGAAGATGAAGGCGATAGCAATAATCGTTATTTTGATTTATTTGAAAATTTTCAAAAATTTTGTATTTTTTGAAAATCAGAATTCCGGGGATATCTTTGAATATAATGCTTCAAATGAATTCAATCATAGCTTAAAATGTTTGTTTTAATGCCATTAAGTCGAAGTTAAAAGATGATTACTATAGCTATATTGATTGATTTGATTTTTATGATGATTGTTGAAAATTTCGAATTTTTTATGAATTTCCCTGAAAGTGAGCTTTCTGATGGTTTCTTCAAATGTGATGTTTCAAATTCATTCAAGTATGTGTAAATAAAATTTTTCTATTAACATTTTATCGAAGGGCTGAGGGGAGAGATAGAACCGTAAAAAAGACAAACGGTTGTACAGTAGAAAGAGATAATAAGAATAATGATGATGATAACATTCAACTGAGTTGAAAATCTGACAAAATTAGTTGAAAAGAACTCTTATTCAATTTAATAAAATGAAATAAACAATGAATTATACATGATAGAAGGCAATGATGTGCAAATTTCCCACTTGTTTAGACTAAAATTCTGGAAGAATACGACCAAGTGATCGGCACCGAGGAAATAACCCTGGAGGGGCTGAATAAATTGCCGTGGCTCGATGCCTGTGTCAAGGAGGTCTGGAGGTTGTACCCAGTGGTGCCTCTACTTGCTAGACAAATTTACCAACCGATAAAAATAAGTAAGAAAGCGATGAAACTTGGAAAATCATATTGGAGAAAAAATCCGGAACATTCATCCCCGAATATCTCAGAAACTATTGGATTTAGAGGAAAATGTCATAAAAACTTTTTGTAGCTTATGAAATTCCCTACAAAAAATGTTCTACAACATTTTTCTCTAAACCCAATGGTTTTCGAGGTATTTAGGAAAAGGAGACAGGGGAAATCCTCAACTTGTGAATTTCATTTTTTTTTTTGCATTTTCTTATCGATGGAATGAAACGTATTCTTCCAGTGAATCACGACATCCCCGTCGGCTCAACAGTCCTGATAAACACGTTTCTTCTTCACCGGGATCCTCGCCACTTCCCGGAGCCCGAGGTCTTCAGACCAGAGAGATTTCTCCCGGAAAATCCGAAACCCCCAACATTCGCCTACATTCCCTTCAGCGCTGGCTCGCGCAACTGCATTGGGTGGAAATTCGCGACTATGGAGGTCAAGGTCGCGATCCTAACTGTCCTCAAAGCCTATCACATTCAGTCCCTGGAGACCCCTGATCAGCTCAGGATGAGTTGCTCCATTGTCCTGATCAACGCCAATGGACTTCGAGTCAAGATCTCACGCAGAAAATAATTCATGGATTATTAAGGGGCGTCGAGGGCGCCCTTTTCACAACCACCGATGAGGATTTTCCTCGAGAATTAGGATTAAATTTAAAATTAAAGCCGAAGGAAAGAGGTGGAGGTGATGAGACGAAAAAATTAAAAATTCGTGGAGATTATTTGGGGAATATCTTGAAAATTAGCGGGTTTGGAGCAAAATGTGACAAGAACTTTTTTGAAGCTTAGGAAATTCTCTACAGAAAATGTTTTATGACATTTTTGTCTAAATGTCTTCGTTTTCGAGATACCATCACGATGAACTAAAAGGTAATTCTGTCTGAAATGAATGTGGGGACATTAGTTCAGAGTATTTTGGAAATATCTCGAAAACTAGTGAATTTATAAAAAAATGCCATAGAAACTTTTTGTAGCTTACAAAATTTGCTACAAAAAATGTAGTATGATATTTTTGTCTAAATGTCTCCGTTTTGGAGATATTCCCAAGAGAAACTAAATATTCACTTCGCAGAGGATAAATGAAGAAAAGATTACTCCCACGATTTTCGTAAAATTGATCCTTCAACCGATCGTTTACTCTCATCACTTCCCCAATAATCCCCACGAGTAATTACTAACAAAGATTAATGAATAAGGGACACTAGAATAAGCCTCGACATTTTGAATTTATAAACCTAGTTCTGTAACTTTAATCATAATTCCATTGCCCAGGCTAAATTCATAATTTTTGCATCAATGAGTCAATTGTAGAATCAAAAATCATGACGCAGAGGTCCATGACACTTCAGACTAATCCACCCATCATAGATCATCCAGAAACACGACTGAATTAATCATTCTTGAATGACGATTTCCAGAATTAGAATTAGGAGAAAATAAAAACTATTAAAATTGTGATATGCTGAATAAAATACGTACAATCGTTGTTTAATTCATCAACACGAGTTTTTATCCCTAGATACTCATTATTCGTGCCACACGTAGATGCAACACGACGCAGATGTGAATGTCTCCTTTATTATGGAATTTAATAAAAAATTTGATAAAAAATTCAATAAAAATTGAGTAAAACGGTTAATATCTCCCAATCTAAGCGAGATACCGAAATTTTCGTAATGACCTTTTTTGTAGAGCGGATCGAAGGCTACAAAAAAGGTCATGACAAAAATTTTGCCCTCTCCCTTAGATTCCGAGATATGCATTGAAAACTGATTCCCACGAGAAATTTAGCCCCAAAAATTTTCCCAATGTTCAGCAATTTTTTTTGTACATGAAAAATTTTATAACTAAAACAATTTTAAACTAAAAAAATTGCACTCACCGCTCTCAGCAGTGGGGGGACCCCTCCCATTGGCAGCTCCGCCCGCCGCGGGAGTTTCAAACGCTCAAATAAGAGCCGACGACGCAGACGACCTTCTGGGGCATATCAGCGGCTTCGCGACGTGTCTCGTGGCCCCTCAGTCCAGTCGCCGAGGTTATGTGCACCACTGACGCCACCACAAATATTCACAAGTGCTTCAGAGTCACTCAGCATTATTTTTAAAATTTTTTCTGACTTATTTATTTAGTTAGGATGAAAGTGGCACTCGCTATCGCGTGTGTCTTCCTCGGATGCTGCTCCAATGTTGTCTTTCTCGAACTTTTGGTCAAGTGAGTGATGGGAACGTAAATATTGTTATTTATCCAGCCGTCGGTGGCTACGTGACGTAATGCGAGGGTTTCAGAATTTTTTTTTCAAGTGAAAAAATCGAGTTTTTGGGGCTTGGTGGAGGCGATGGGGTCTGGGGACATTTTCTCACTCGTTAAATTGTATTTTCTGCTGTGATTTTTGGTGGCTTTATTCAGGGAAGACCCGGGCAGCGGAAATCTCATCACCTTCGCGCAGTTTCTCCTCATCTCCCTCGAGGGATTCATATTCACATCGAAATTTGGAACTGTCAAACCGAGGATTGGGGTCAAGGACTACATGATCATGGTCTTCATGTTCTTCTTGGCTAGTGTGTGCAATAACTACGCCTTCGATTTCAATATTCCGATGCCGCTGCACATGATTTTCAGAGCGGTGAGTAGTTCACTTCGGTGGGAAGTGGAGAATGAGAAGTTGATTTGATTTTTTGGGAATAACTCCGGAGTGAAGGGGTTTAGGGGGAAATGTTGGGAAAGATTTTTGTGGGGAATTTCGTAAGCTAGAAAAAAGTTTGTATGACATTTTTTGATTAAGTCAATGGTTTTGGAGATATTTGAGAAATAGTGGACGTGAAATTTTGGTGGTTTTTTAGTTCAAGGGAATTTGGAAATTGTTTCTTTCATTAATAATTCTGGAGGGATGGGGTTCAGGGGAAAATGTTATGAGACATTTTTGTGGGGAATTTCATGAGCTAGAAAAAAGTTTTATGCCATTTTTTGATCAGCTCTGTGGTTTTAGAGATATTTGGGAAAAAGTGAAGGTGAAATTTTCGTGTTTTGTTAATTCAAGTGAATTTGGAAATTGTTTCTTTCATTAATAATTCTGTTGCGATGGGGTTTAGAAAAAAATGCCATAAGACATTTTTGTGGGGAATTTCATGAGCTACAAAAAAGTCTTCTGCCATTTTTTGACAAGCTCAATGGTTTTAGAGATATTCAAGAAATAGTGGAGATGAAAATTCTGTTTTTTCATCCAAACAGACTTTCTGTTGTGATCAATTATTTTTCTCTGAAAAAGTCTAGATTTCACGTGAAAATGTCAATGCAAATTTTTTAAAAGAACTTCATTACCTTCAAAAAATGTTATTTGACATTTTTTTAACCCTCTACTTCCCAAATTATTCCCCAAAAACAATTACTAAACATTCAGTCACTCGATTTCGACCCCTGACCACCAAAATCCAACATTTATCGCGGGATTGCAAGTCCCTAACCTTCACCCGAACCCCGGGCCTCGAAAACACTCGGTCCTCCTTCAATTTACGCATTTATGTGCACTAATGCGTTGTTAATCACTGCTCAACACCTTATCGCGCTTCACTCAACACTAATTTAGCATTTTCACCCGGGAAATGCAGCCGCGGCGTTTGTTATTGTCGGGAGCACGTGAATCCGCCATTTTTCTCTCTCGCACTGCAGCGCGCGCTCGCGCCACCCTCTCCCCTCCCGCGTTATTCAAATACTCGATAAAGTCGAAATTAATGTTTTTTCGATGAATAGGAACTTCTGGGCTGAATAATTCCTCTTGTGAGGAATAAATTACTGATAAACCGGTGATATGAAAATTAGGAGAATTCTATATCCATTAAAAGAAAAATCTATTCGTTTCAGGCGTTCCCTGAATTTTTTTCGAGTTCCAACGCTAGAGAAATATTCGGAAAACATAAAAATTAGCTCAAGTATTTAGTAAAACAACCTAAACAACCTATAACGTAAAATTTAATTGACTAATTAATTCCTAAGGGAGAAAACGGTTGAATTACTATTTTCAATAATTCATAACTGGAGATCCGCAGAGTGAAATTGAACGATTTTTTTTTCACTTTGAAGGTTTTCTTTCGGGCTTCAAAATGAGCGCTGACTCACCCAAATTGCTCCATTTGTTCAAGGAGAATGAGTGATTTGAAGAAATGTGTTCTTCCTCGTCTTTCTCAAAAAATGAAAAAACAATGGAATTGCGTCATCACTAATTTCTAAATACCTCGAAGACTAAAGGAGATACAAAAATTTTGTAAATAACTTTTTTGTAGCCCGTGAAATTTCCCACAAAAAAGATTCTTACGAAAATTTCGCTATCTAACTCACATCTTGAGATATTCGCCAAAAACTCCTATCGAATTCTCTTTCCCCACTTTCACGATGAGCTAATTATTTTAGTCGATTTATTTTTTGTGATTGATTGGAACTTGTTATTTTTTCAGGGATCTCTCATAGCTAACATGATAATGGGGATAATAATCCTGCATAAGAAGTACCCATTAAGCAAATACTTGTCAGTACTCATGATAACAATGGGAATAGTCATGTGCACAATAGTCAGTGGACAGGAGATCAAATCCACCCAAAAAATGGCTGCTGGTGCAGTTCCCCCGACTCCCATGGAAAATCTCTTCTGGTGGAGTTTGGGGATCACTCTGTTGACTGTCGCCTTGTTTATTTCAGCGAGAATGGGGCTGTACCAAGAAGTTTTGTACGTCAGATACGGAAAACACCCGAAGGAGGCTCTGTACTACACAGTGAGTGCCCCAAAACATCTTGATTAATTGCGCAATATCTCGAGAATGACCAGTTTTACGAGGATTTGCCATACCAACTTTTTTGTGGAGAATCAAATTTCCTGCAAAAATTATCATATGACATTTTCGTCTAAAACTACTCGTTCATGAGATATTCACGAAATGTATTGTTATGTCTCATTAATTCCTCGCTAATCTCATCATTTTCATTTTTAGAATTTTGGAAATATCTCGAAAACACGTGGAGTTACGAAAAAAAGTGATAATACATTTTTTGTAGAGAAGTGAATTTTCTGCGAAAAAGATTTTATGATATTTTGCCGTAAATTCACTTGTTCTGGAGATTTTTAGGAAATAACGCGAGTGTTCATTTGGTAGAGGTTTCTGCAGGATTTTATGACTTTGTTGTCTTTTACTTTGTTATGAAGATGATTTCTGCTTTCAGCATTTATTACCTCTGCCATTCTTCCTGACACTAGCCCCTAATATATGGGACCACGCAATACTAGCGGTGAATTCAGACCCCACCTCAGTTCTGGGCTTCACACTCCCGAAAACAGTGGCTTATCTCATCGGAAACGTTCTCTCGCAGTATCCTTTTCAAAATTAAAATACAGAAAATGTGGAATCACGATGATGAGACATGTAATCACTGAAAAACGACTCGCGGAGTGTCTGATCGTTACGTAACTCCAGTTATGATCGAAACAGGGGATTACGAGGATTTAGAAATTCAATGTTTTCAGTTTTATTGAGATTCTATTTGAAGATGAAACAGACAACAGAAAAATGAAACAAAAAATAATCAATAGCAGAGGAGAAATCGAAATGGAACTGTTTTTTCAAATTTATAAAAATTATCATATTATCGTTTGTTTATTTATTTATTTATTTATTTATTTATTTTTCTGCTTCAGAAAATATCTCATATTTTTTGTAATTAAAAATTTTAGACTAGAAGTTTAAGTTGAAATCATTTCTATTTTAAATTCATGAAATGGAATAGATCTTTTTCGATTTTAGAATTCATAAAAATTATTAATTCATTTTTTATTTATTCATTTGTCGTTATTTTTGTTTTGGACAATAGTTAATTTTTCAATGAAATATTTCAACTGAAATAAAATAGAAAATGTTATTTAATTTTTAATTCTGATAGAATAAAAAACAAATAAATATTCCAAATAGTATTTCATCCTAATTAACTACTAAAATATGAATTCCACTTGATTTTCCAGAAATAGTGCACCAAACGTCTATTTAAATAATTTTTCAATTTCTCCCCTGGGGTAAACAGTAATGAATAGTCGTAAATAATTGAATTGTATGTGCATCCTTAACAGTTCTCCACAGGTACATGTGCATCGCCTCAGTATTCGTCCTCACCACAGAGTGCACATCCCTAACGGTCACCCTGGTCGTGACCCTTCGCAAATTCGTCTCCTTAATATTCTCAATCCTCTACTTCAGTAATGAATTCAGCGTGTACCACTGGATCGGCACGACTCTAGTCTTCTCCGGCACAATAATCTTCACCGAAGTTGTGCCGAAATTACGGGAGAGTCTGTCCTCTCGAGCACAAGATAAGAAAGTCAAATGAATCTAGAGAAAATTGTAAATAATAAATTTTGTTATGAATTATGAATCAAAGATGATTCCTTCATCGAACTGTAAATGTGATTGAGAGATTTTTTACTTCATTGTGGAAATGTCAAGAGAAACTCAACAGGAAAATTAGACGAATTAATTAAAGATAAAATTGAAAACTGAAAGAAAATTCAACGATTTTTGTTTTTCTTTTTGGAAAGAAAAATTCGACCGCAACTTCGTTTGCGGATATCTCGGGACCTATTGGGTTTAGAAAGAAATGTCATAAGTGATTTTTGTAGGAAATTTAATTCTCCACAAAAAATTTTTTATGACATTTTTGTCCAAATCCAATAGTTTCTGAGATATTCGTAAATTAGTCTCACCAAAAATTTTTAATTAATCGAAATTTCACGTTTCACCACAAAATTTAATTGATTTTCGCTGCGAATTGTGTTATAATTGATGAATTTGTCATCAAATCGTCTTTCTGCATCACCACCCATAGCCTCCACACGTGCGTGCACCTCCGAAGGTCCTAGAACCGACAAAAACGGTAATAATTCACTCTCGGGGTCATCTGCAAATATATGCCAAATGCGATAAGGAAATAGTCACGTCGCAGACGTTTATACTCAACAAATTATCTCCCCATTCTTCACTCTCCTTTTTCCTCATCAACCACGAAAAAAAATCCTAAAAACAATTTTTTTCAAAAAAAGCGAAACAAAATCAGAAAAAACCCCAAACGACTCAAAATCTAGATCAGTTTTTCTTGAATATCTCCAAAAATAATAGAGATATCAAAATTTTCGTCAGATAATTTTTTGTAGCTCTTAAAATTTCCCACAAAAAATGTTTTATCAAAAATTTTGCCACCTCCCTTCAATCTCGAGATATTTCCCTAAAACAAATCTCCCAGTAAAAGAGAAAGAAAAAAAAATTATTTGAACAATTCCCTGGGCTTTTGGGTTGATTAGCATTAATTAACAAGTTTTGTTGATTAATGTTGTGGACATTAATGAGCCCTGGAGTGCAGAAACGATGACAAAGGCCCAGAGGATTTAAAAAAGCACAAAATCACCAGATGTTGGAGTTAAATCCCCAGGATTACGGATTTGCCATTCCTATAATAACCGACGCCTCTCCAATAGTTCTATTTATTTACTCCCCTTCACTCTGCGGACAACAACCGATTTCCACTCAACAACTCGGTTCAGTAGCTCCCGCTCCTCACCGAGGAAGAAACATGCGTTCCATCGTGAAACTCTATCTGGTAAACATTTCGATTGTTCACGAATATATCATTGTCCTCCGATAAGAGACCATTCCGTTTGTTTTCTGGCGTTAGTGGTCGATAAGACCATGAATGATGGAGGTGTTATCAATTTTCTCTGTTTGTTTGCTTCGGAAAATTCATTGGAAACTATTTTTGGAGGGTTTTTATGAATTCCCTGTTTTCTTTGGAATTGTGACAGTCGGTGACGGACTTTGTCAGGGGACGACATCCACCAGAATGTGACAAGATGGTCAATGAGACCAGCCGACTACTGGATACTCCCGTTTTTGTGGATCTGGGGGGTGGAAAGTGCCTCAGAACTGGTGAGAAAGTTTTATTTTTTTTTAAGGGACAACATATTTTTTTTTGTAGGAAATTAAATTATTTCCAAAAATGGTTTGTTTTTCGTTTTAAAAATTGTTGATTTTCTCGTGAATGAGTAATTTTAGGAAAAATTGTTGGAGTAGATTTTAAAACAATGTTAAAAGGGTCTTGGAAATGCCCAGATTAATTTAATAGAAGTATATTTCATTGTGAATTATCTCGTTCATGAGAAATTCCCGAAAAAAATGTCATAAACATTTTTTATAGGAAAAGAATTTTCGAAAAATTAGTGAGAACTGTAAATTTCAGTTCCATTTTTCCCTGAAAATGAATAGAAACCCAGAAAATTCCGGTAAATATATTCTTGAATTTTCAGGACAGTGACACTAAATGCGATTTAAGGGAAAAATCATGAAATTTCAGATTTCACTTAAAATTCAATGTAATTTGGCACTAAATATTCATATTAGATTGGAAATTCAAAGAAATTAAGCTATTCTCGTATTTATGCTGCTTAAAATTCTGGAAATCTACAGAATGTTCAGTGAAACCTGAAACTTCATTTTTTTAACTGTGCACGTATAAAAAAATTAAATAGAAAAACTTAAATTAAATAGAAAGAGCGAATTCGCTAGAAAATTATATTGGAATTCTCTAGAACTTCTATTGGGATTCTATTAAAATTCTAGAGAATTCTCGGTAAAATTCTATTTGTTTTTTGCGCTGTTTCTATTCGATTTTTGATACAAAAAGTCAATAGACTCCGATTTTTCTATATGAATATTCTTTTGAAATAGAAAACGCGAATTCACTAGAAAATTATATTGGAATTCTCTAGAAATTCTATTGGGATTCTATTAAAATTCTATAGAATTCTCGGTAAATTCTATTTGTTTTTTGCGCTGTTTCTATTCGATTTTTGATACAAAAAGTCAATAGACTCCGATTTTTCTATATGAATATTCTTTTGGGATTTTTTCTGTAGGAACACTTGAGCATAAATTTCCCAAGTTTTCTCCACTCGGATCCTGTAATGCAAAACAAAAAAAAATCCAGCGGAAAGAAACTTAGAAAACCGTGCTCAATAATTTCAATATAAAAAGTGTCAAGAGAAAAATTTAAACAGAAAAATCTAATCTATTGACTTTCCTGTAGAATATTTAATGCAATCAGCGCAAAAAACAAACAGAATTTTCATGAGAATTCTCTAGGATTTCTATTGGAATTCTATTAAAATTCTAGAGAGCCCCAATCGAATTTTCTAGCGAATTCGCTAAGTTTTTCTAATTAATTTTTTCATACGTGTGTGGAAGGTACCCAGTAGATGGACGAGCTACTTTTGGATAGGAAATTACGCAAAAAAATACTGAAATGTGAATTGTTGCTTTCAATTTTCACTAACTGTTGTGATTCTTAACTCCTGAGTGACAATTTTTTTTCAATCAATTTTTTTTCAATTGCTAAAAAACAAACGTCCATCTACTGGGCAGTTTACCCTAATAGCATAATTGTCAAGAGATCCCTTAACTCGTTTCAAAAATTCTTTCCATAAAACTCACGCCAAATATTCTCCCCAGACATAATTGGGGACTACGACTACTACGCGGCGAATCCCCTCTGGATAAAAATCCGTCTCCTCTTATTCTGGATATTCTGGGCAGCTCTGATACTGGTGATAATCCTCTCAGTCTCCACGTACTTCTGCCTAGCCCCCAGCCTCTGCAGTCCCACGTCGAGGCCGACAATCTGATCGTCTCCACCCCCTCTGCCTGGACTCAACTATTTATTCTCCTATTTAATAAAACCAATAGTCTTCTAATCGAGATGAAGGACTCGTGGGGAGTGCGTCACTCCCGTCGACTGATAACGAGTCATAGCTGTGAAAATATTTGCCACTGAGAACATACCGATACGATTATCGTTCGGCACATTGCGCACGTCTTTGTCCAATTTTTTATAATGAAGAGAGAGCTATTAATATTCTGTGTGCCAACAAAAAATTGAACACTTGCGATTGAGGATATCAGTAATTTATTCTGAAGAAACGGAGTGTGGATAAATGTGTATTAGTGGGGAAAACAGTATCAATAAGCTCGTTAAAGCATTTTTTTATTCCATTTTGTTGTCATTTTTAGGATGAATAAATTTCATTTTTTTAGGAATGGATTTGAGAATTTTATTTGTGATTCTTGCGAAGTTTTTAACATAAATCCTTATTTAATTCTTAATTTTTGATTGATTATTTTTTATTTCATTATGTTGTAATTTTTATGATGAATAAATTTAATTTTTTTACGAATGGATTTGGGAATTTTATTTGTTTTCTTGTGATTCTTGCGATTTTTAAAAAATTAATCCTCAATTAATTCTTAGTTTTTGATTGATTATTTTTTATTCCATTTTGTTGTAATTTTTATAATGAATAAATTTAATTTGTGTACGAATTAATTTGAGTATTTTATTTCTTTTCTTGTGATTCTTGTAATTTTTTTTAATGGCTCCTTAATTAATTCTTAATTTTCAATTGAGAGGGAATAAAGCGAATGAATTCACACGAACAATTGTCGTTAACGCGTTAATCTCTACTTTGTCGAATTTTTAAAAATGAAATGAGAGCTATTAATACTCTGTGTGCCGGCAAAAAATTGAATACTTGCAATTGCGGATATCAGTAATTTATTCTGAAGAAACGTAGTGTGTATTCATGTATATTAGTAGTATTTTTTATTCCATTTTGTTGTAATTTTTATGAAGAATAAATTTAATTTATGAGAATAAATTTGAGAATTTTATTTGTTTTCTTGTAATTCTTGCGAATTTTTAAAAAATTAATCCTCAATTAATTCTTAGTTTTTGATTGATTATTTTTTATTCCATTTTGTTGTAATTTTTATAATGAATAAATTTAATTTTTGAATTTTTTTAAAATTCAGTTTCACTTGAGTGAATTTAAGAATTTTATTTGCTTTTTTTGTGATTCTTGGACAAGTCAAAAGTGTTTGACTATTTTTCTGATTTTTAGAAAATTAATTCCTAATTAATTCTTAATTTTTAATTGATAAGAATTCAAATGAATGGATTCACGAAAACAAGTGTCGTTATCGCGTAATCTATTCCCATCGATGAATTCTATTAAACTGAAATTAAATAATGATAATTATCTGATGACGATATGGTGATATATTCGTTGATTCTGTCTCATCGCTATGCGATGGAAGACGATAAGGAGGAAGAATGGGAGTGATAGGGGCAGAGTGGGTCTCGGAGTTGCCTGAGGAGGAACTCAAAAGTTGAGTGTTTTTATGGTGAAAATATGAAACTATTTGTTGGATAAAGTTGATGGACATCACGAAGTTGCCAGTGCCTGAATTTTTTAAAGAATTTAATTGATTAATTAACGCGATTTTGATTCGTTAGTGAAGTGGTAACTCGTGTCATGAACAAAAAAGAAGAAAACTAATTGTTTAATTCAAAATTATCTTGATAACGAGTGATTTTAAGAGAAAATCTCCCAAAATATTTTGTTTGGGAAATTTCCTGCCCTACAAAAAGTTTCTTATGACATTTTCTCTGAAAATCACTCTTTAGTGAGATTATTTCCCAATTCCAAAACCCATAGGATTCATGTTTTCCCATTCTACTCCAAAATTCATCTCCGGAAATTGATATAAATCTTCAAAAGTACGTGGTCTATTGAAAAATACCAAAAAAGCCTCTTTGTAGAGAATAAAATTCCCCATAAAAAATGTTTTATAACATTTTTGGGTAAACTTCACCGCTCCGAAATTATCTCCAAGAGAATCTAAATTGAAAATTGACTCATCGCGTTTTTCAATTCGTTTTCAAAATTCCACTTCATAAATTCTCAAATATCGTGGAAACCGCTGGAGCTTCCAAAAAATATCAAAAGACCTTTTTTATACCCCGAAAAACTCCCCATAAAAGATGTTCTATAACATTTTTCGCTAGACCCCACCGCTCCAAAATAATCCGCAAAAAAACAACTAAAAATCAACTCACCACGGTTTTCAACTCCTGAAAACGCATTCCCACAAAATCCAAAAAATATCAAAAACCCCTAGATTTACCAAAAAAACTCATAAAACCTTTTTTACACCTCGAAAAATTCCCTATGAAAACTGTTCTATAACATTTTTCGCTAGACCCCCCGCTCTAAAATAATCTCCAAAAAAAAACAGAAACAAAAGTCAACATCACGTTTTTTATCTTTTTTCTAAAACGCATCTCCACAACATCCAAAAAATCTCAAAAACCCCTAGATTTACCAAAAAACCTCATAAAACCTTTTTTACACTTCGAAAAATTCCCCATAAAAAATGTTTTATAACATTTTTCGCTAGACCCCACCGCTCCAAAATAATCCCCAAAAAACTGAACTAAAAATCAACTCATCCCGTTCACCAACTCAAAACGCCTCCCCACAAAATCCAAAAAATCTCGAGAACCCCTAAACTTACCAAAAAACATGACAAAACCATTTTTATACCCCACAAAATTCCCTACAAAACCCACCCCTAAAACCCCCCCTACCCACCGCCCCTCCGCCGCAATCCCCAAAAAACCGAAACCCAAACCAATAAAAAACGTTAAAAAAATCTCCCAGAAACCCCCGGCAAAAACCCTTCGACCCGGTCTCCCTCCGGAGCCCTCCCCCGCCCTCGCACACCCCATCTCGCCCCTTATTCAAATCATGCGCGCCCGCAGGCTCTCCCCAGAGTGCAGCGCAGTCGCCCTTTCATCTTCCCCTCGTATTTCGTCTCAGCGGCCGTCCGACGCGTCTCAAAGTCCTCTCCGCGTGTATCAATTACGTAACCAGACCCTCCACTCGTCTTTATCGCAGCAAATTGGCCTTGAGTGCAGCAAAAAGGCGACGAGAACCGTCAGCTCGTAAAGATGGAGAGTGGGAGACTCGATTTGGAGACTAATGTCGAGGTGAACGGCACTAACAAGCCAGTTGCCGCCACGTACAAGTCCATTCCCGACGGCGATACCAATTGGCAGGCCAAGGAGGAAAATATCGGGGACATGGGAAAACCGGAGAACGAGGAGATTGACGATGGGGCCAAGGAGAAGATGCTCAGCGAGGAGGCGAAAATCAGCCCCAAAAAAGACGCTTCTCAGGTGAGTTTCAATAATTCCAACGGTTTTTTCTGGGTGAAGGGGTCTGTGGGAACATGGCCGACACCTTGAGAATTCTGGGCGTCGTTTTTCGGGGGACAGGCGTGAACGACGAACGAGATTTTTCTCACGAAAACATTTTTTATGAGTGAAAATTGCCACAAAACTTTGATCAGAAAAAAGCAGATTTTTTTGTTTTTTTATTTTTTGAGGTTTTTTCGACATCTTTTGAGTGAATTTAGGGCTGGAGGGCGGTTGGAATTGGGGGTTGAGGGGAATGATGATTTTTACGAGTGAAAATTGCCACAAAACTTTGATCAGAAAAAAGCAGATTTTTTTGTTTTTTTATTTTTTGAGGTTTTTTCGAAATCTTTTGAGTGAATTTAGGGCTGGAGGGGGTTGGAATTGGGGTTGAGGGGAATGATGATTTTGGGGGAATTATGAATTTTTTTAGACGATTTCTTATGGGAAGTTGAAGGTTTTGGGGAATTAATTGTTGAGTTGATGAGGTTTGTTGATCTTTTTTGAAAGGAATGTGATGGCTCAGTGGTTTTAAGCTCTTACATCAGCTCTTTCACCCTTGTGGCACTTGCGAATGGATAGACATATCAGAGAGTAGAGGATAAATGGAAGAATGGGTATCCCACAAAAAATGTCTTCTTTCATTTGAAAAAAACAGCTTTTTTCTTCATTTTCTGAGTTTTTTTCTCGATATTTTGAATAAATTTAGAAGATGGAGGGGGGTTGGCACGTGGGTGATGATTTTAGGGGAATTATGAATTTTTTTAAACAATTTTTAGGGAGAAATAGAAGGTTTTGGGGATTTAATTGTTGAATTGATGAATTTTGTTGATCTTTTTTCAAAGGAATGTGCTGCCTCAGTAATTTTAAGCTCTTACATCAGCTTTTTCACCCCTGTAACAATTACAAACGGATAGAGTTATCAGAGAGTCGAGAATGAATGAGTGTAAAAAATAGAACGGACACAAAAGTCTCATTTAACCACAGAACACGAATAATCACTTCAAGAAAAAACCTTTTCTTGTTCTTCCCAAATATCTCGAAAACTACTGGGTTTAGAAGAAAACATCTAATCACCTTTTATGTGGAGGATAAAATGTCCAACAAAAAATGTCATCTCACATTTTCCCCTAAACCCACTCAATACCGAGATAATTACCCAATTCGATGAACAAAATAATTTCATCCATCTTAAAGTCTAATAAATGCATTTAACGTATGTAAAAATGTGAATGTCTGCCTTTCAGGTGATCTTCATATCCGAGAATGGCGACGCAAAGATAGACGTCGCCCCGAAAGGCCCCACCCTCTCGGGAATGGGAAAGGAAGAGCTCATGAAGTACGCGAACGATCCCTTCTGGATTCGCCTGCGCTGGTTTCTCTTCATCGGTTTCTGGCTCCTCTGGTTCGCAATGCTCCTGGGGGCAGTGGCGATAATCGTCATGGCCCCGAAGTGCACGCCCCCCCAGCCCAAGACCTGGTGGGAAAAATCCCCGATTGTTCAGCTGGAGCCGAAGGACCTGGAGGCCAAAGACTCCACTTCCCTCTCAAACCTCTTGGACAAATTGAAGAGCCAACACATCTCGGTTGTCTCCCTCTCCAACATCCTCAAGTCGACGTCGCCAGGGCACGTCACGGACTTCAGGGACGTCGACCCCAAGATCGGAATGGAGAACATCAAGAGCTTGATCAGATTGGCGAAGGAGAAGGACCAGAAGGTGCTCTTGGAGATCGATCCCAACCACTCGGGGATCGATCACGCTTGGTTCAATAGGTCGCAGAACAGGGAGGAGCCTTACACTAATTATTATGTGTGGGCTAGTCCCAAGACGGGGGCCGATGGCAGCAACAATCCACCGAATAATTGGCTCAGCACTTATGGAAAGTCTGCCTGGGAGTGGAGTCCCATCAGGGGACAGTACTATCTGCATCAGTTCGACAAGTCGCAGCCTGACTTGAACTTCAATAATTCGTTGGTGGGTAGGGGAATCTGGTTCGGTGGTCAGAGATTGATTGATTGATTGATTGATTGAGTTTATTGCTGTACATTATGTTGTACAAATTTATGGTGGCAAAACCACATTAGCTGGTATACAGTAAATCACAGTGGATATCGTGGAGTAATCAATACATGCTAATAATGATAGATACATAACATACAGAGAAGATGAGAAGAAGCAATATGCAACAGAAAGAGCAGGCTTTGGCGGGTCCCAAACAAACGGATGAATAGCAAGTGCGAAATTGTAGCGATGAAAGAGGGAAGAGTGTAAGAATAAGAAGGGATAGGAAGGAAGGGGCAAGAGGGGGAGGGAAAGTGATAAGAGGAGAGCAAAGAGTAGGAATGGCATTAAGAGTTGTCCCTCAGATAATGAGATGGAGATTAGTTCGTGGAAATGTAATGGGAATGGGATTTTTAATGTATTGTTGAAAGAACAAAGTGCCAAATTTAGGGTGCCTCAGAGGGGATTTGAACCCACAACCTTCAGATTACCAAACTACGAGGGACGAGTTGAGTAATGTGCACACTTGTGACTTTTAAAGTGTTAATGACTCATGGAATTTCTCATGAAATGGAATTATTTTTTCTTCAATGAAAAGTATAATTTTTCCTGAGATAGAGCCTAGGTGATCCTAGACTGAACTCGATTGCTAAATTTATTGTTGAGTTATGAACATTAAAAAGACAGTCCCAAGTGGCCATTCCACTCCACTTTTCCCTACTCTAACAAATGTAGCTATGGGGCACCCCATGAATGCTACAATTTCACTGTTTCATTGAGAGAACCAAGCTTCAAATTTAAGAGGATGGAAATGAAGTTAAATTGAATTTATTTATTCGTGTTCATCGAACTGAAATAGAATGCTGTTTTTATTTCACTCAGATTATTAATGAAACAGTATTTCTTATTTGACTTCACTCTTCAAATATTTCAATGCATACGAAATCAAATAATTTCTTTTTTTAACGAATTATCTTTAAAAAAAGGGAATGAACGCGAGAGTTGAAGCAAAGTCCTTAATTTATTTAAAATAATGAACAATTTCATGAATTTCAACTAGAAAATGATTTCGACATTAATTTTTCTGGCTGAAAATGAAAAAATCCGATTCTATCTTTTATCTTTGAAAACTCCAAAATATCAAACACTCATAAATATTTAAAATAGTGAATTACAAAAACATACAATAGTGAAAACGAGTCATTTACACCTTGAGAAATTGAATAAAAAAATTTAATGACAGGTTGTCGATGAGTTCAACAAGATCTTCAGCCACTGGTTGGACCTGGGGATCAACGGATTCAGGCTAGGGTTCACTCAGCACTTGATCGAGGACCCTGCCCTTCAGGACGAGAAGACGAGCTCCACCGCAGCTCAGACTGATGAGTACGAGTCCCTGGTGCATGTCCACACCAGAGACAGAGTGGAGAACGCTCAAGTCCTCAGGGTCTGGAGGGAGAACGTCGTCAACAGAACGAAGGAGGACGGTTTATTTGCTCTGAGGGACGACATCGCCTCGGACATTCTCGCTGTCTTCAATGAAAAGAGCAAACTTGTGGACTTGCCCCAGAGCTCGATGTTCCTCATGCATGCTGACAAGGGGATCACTGCGAAGGCCCTCTTGGATGGGATTAAACCCTGGAGGGATCATGTTTACAACAGCTCGAAGGCTTCCTGGCCTGCGTGGGATGTAAGATGATTTTTTATTATTTTTTTGAGAATCTTCATCTCAGAAATATGGGATTATCTCTGCAGTGAGTGAGTTTAGAGAAAAATGTGTCCAGAACATTTTTGTAGGCAATTAAATTTACTACAAAAAATATTTCACGACATTTTGTCGTAAATCCACTCACTACCGAGATAATTAGCCAATTTGATCATTGGAAAAATTCGTAAATTGAATTCACTCAGAAAAATCTTTGTTAATTATATTAATCTCTCAATAATGAGTGGTTTTAGCAAGAAATTTCTTCAGACCTTCTTTGCAGACAGTTGAATCGAATGAATATTGTAATTTAGACATTAAGAAATAGAATGAAAAAAGGGATTTCATCGTTTTTAATTAAGATTTAATGAAAAAATTTGTTTTTCTTTTCAGTTGAATGGAGATAAAACAGCTCTGCGTGATCGAATGTCCCCAGCAGTTGCTGAGAGTCTCACCCTGATGTCCCTCCTCCTCCCAGGGACTCCAGTCCTCAAGCTCAACGACATTCCACGCGAGAAAGAGTCTGAAAAAACTGCTTTTGCGACGATAGCAGAAAAACGCAATGATGAAATATTCCTGAATGGAGATTTCCACACTGAAATCGTCAACGGGACTGTCTTCGTCTACACCAGGTGGGTTCGGCGATCAAAAGAATATTTTAAATATTGAGAAGAGAGGAAGTGACTCAAGGGCTATAGATACTAATAAAAGGGGTAATTGGGGAGTTGTGGGAATAAAGGGAATAATAATGGTAATTCCTTTGACGTGACTTCACTCGAGTAAAATCAATTGACGTCTCAATTGCTTCAATCCTGCGGGTGAACTCACAAAAGATTTCGACGATTCAAAGAACTTTTATCTGGGGCTTGAATGATTTTATTGATCACTAACATGTGGTTTGTTTCCATTTCATGGTTTTTCGGGGGAGTGTAGGAGTGGGTGAGTTGGTTACTAACAGTTGCATGATTGCATGGGCTTGAGAATGAATTCAATCGATAATTAATCAATTTTTGATAATAACGCAAAAGAAAGATGAATACAAAATTTCGTTGAGTTTATTTTGCGAATATCTCGAGAACGAGGGGGTTTATGGAGAAATGTCATAGAACACTTTTTGTAGCTCATGAAATTCTCCACGAAAAATATTTTCGGACATTTTTTCGTAAAATGGCTCGTTCGGGAGGAAAATACGGACATAAGCATGAGGATGAATTGTGCACATTTGGAAATTTATTATTTTTCTATTTCTGATTTTTTTACCTCTCAGGAATGAAGTGATGATTTTTTTGAGAGCATGGAATGATCCTCGAATGCACAAAAACAGTGCGAATAATTTTTTAAATATTTTATTAATGAAAAATCGTGCTTTTTCACAGGTTAAAGAGTGGACTCCCTGGTTATCTCGTAGCTTACCAGAGCTCGGAGCATCCAGCTGTTATTGATCTGTCAGGGATTCCCCACGTTCCTGAGGAGGTCAATGTCCTGGCCTACAGTCCGAATTATCTCACAGAGAAAAAGCCAGGAGAAGCAATCGAGTGAGAATTTTCCCAATTAATTAAATAATCCTCAGTTCATTCTTTCATGGAAATAAATGAATTGGAGATCGTTAAGTGATTCTAATCTTCTCAAATTATCTTTCAGGACTAAACTGTTCTCGAAGAGAGTGCCCATAGCCCCCAAAAGTACGCTGGTACTCACCTTCGTCCCATCGAAGGACCAGAAATAAATAACGAAGTGAGCAGAACGAAATTTATGGCAGGAAGTGAACAGGTCTTGAAACGCATTTAATCGCTTTTATTTATGTATCTTGCGGGATTGTGTATGAATCACCCGCTTTTATGGGGAATAATAATGATTCACGTGAGCATTAAAGGTCGTGAATTTTAATTTTTTTGTGCAGAAGCAAATAAAGAAGTGAAATTCGATTTCTCATTGTCTACTATTTTTCCTATTCTCTCAAAAACATAATTATCTCGATAATGAGTGGCTGTAGCAGAAAACTTTATACAACATTTTTTGTCGGAAATTGAATTCTCTACAAAAAATGTTTTATGGCATTTCCTGCTAAACCCATTCGTTTTCGAGATAAGTCCAAAATTGACACATGAAATTCAATTTTTTCCCTTTTTTTCCATCAAATCTTTTCAAAAATATATAGTTACCCACGAAAATAGTGACTTAGGTACTATATTTCCTTGAAATAATTCCAGAACATCCTTCAATAATTTTATAACAATTTTTATTCTCTAAAGTCTCTCCCCTCTTCATATTTACAATAAATTACAGAAAAGAAATGGAAAAAATTACTCTATATGGAGTTTATGTGGATCCGTGAATCTGGCAGTAAGTATATAGAATAACGCTGGTAAAGGTACCAATATGAGCATGGCAGGGTGGATATTAACACCCCTCAGTGTTGCAACAGCGATAACTCCGTATCCATGAAGGAGCCAGTGTCCAAGGATAACGACCACATTCTTGATATCCGAGACGGAGCTGAGTAACAGCGATTTCATCGTCTGCAGAACAAAATGAAACATCATTACGAGGGTATGAAGACCTCAGGATAATTATAAATAATTTTTTGAAATTATTTAATTAATTTTTTTTTCAGGATAATTATAAATAATTTTTTTTTATTATTCAACTGAACTTGTTTACCTGGTTTAATTTAAACGCAAAGTGGGCTGCATTCGATAAGACTGAGAGAATGATGGTGATGTATGGAAACGAATAATCTGCAATTAAAATTTTTAATCAGGACATTTATTTTTTTTCTGGTGGGGGAATAATTGGCAAAATTGCAGTTGGAATTTTTTTCGTAAAAATCTTGAGAAGGAAATAAACAAAAAAATGTGAAGGGAAAAATGATGATTGTTAATTTGTTGAACTTACAAATTAATCCACCCCCAACTGCATGAAGTAGTGCCAATATGGGGAAGAAGTACAATGCAGCGTAGATTGAAAATTTCCCCTGCTTGGGGAGGAATTTTTTAGCTATTGGAGGCCTCACCAGGAGCATCAGCAAAACTCCCAACGAATAAAATACGAAAACCATTGTATATCTGCAAAAAAACAAATTTATTAATATTCCATATACTTCAAACATCAAATTATGTTGATGACATTTTTCTGATATTTTCCTGCAAACACCATCCCCAGATACCCAAGAAAAAATTACAACGAGAAGTAATTTTAACCCGAGGTAGCTACAGTGGTGAGAGCAGCGAGTAGGTAATCTGAAGGTTGTGGGTTCGAACCCCTTCGTGGGCATTATCGTTGGTTTCATTACTGTTTCTTTCAATAAAATATTGAAATAATAAAACTTTATACCAGAGGAGGTACAAAATTAACGAAAAAGTCCAGACATCTTCAACTAAAATTCCCCAAAAATGAATGAAAGTGGATAAAAATCCACTTACAATGGGTAAACAGCTTCCTGAGTGCAATGCAAAGAGCTCTCATAATTCGGGCTAGGATTATGGAGCAAGGTGTACCAATCAGACAGCCGTTTAATCCTGCAGGATTGGATCCCGAAGGACCCGATGGGCTCAGTCACTTGGAGAGTGATCAAGGAGGCCCCCACGATCTCCACCAGTGCAGACACGTGCAGGGCGATGACCTCCTTGGGGATGTTCCTCCTCATGGCGACCATGTCGATGCAGAACCAGTGGAGGACCAGAGCTAAAAGAGCCATGAATCCCAGGTAAAGCCAGTCGTAGAACATGGGGGCGTCCTCACAGGGGACGCAGATGGAGGACTCGTTGGTCCTGAAACCCCTGGGACATGCCCCGCACTCCGTCCAGTTGCCATCCTCCAGGAGCTCGCGGCCACAGTAGAGACCAGGGCATTTTTCCAGAAGATTCATTTTTCAGTGGATTTTTCGGTGATTCTGGGGGGATTGGAGAAAAAACTTTCTTGATTTTTAGATAAGTTCAATTTAATTCACTTGAGTTTTACAATAAGAGAAAAAAAACTGGTTTTCAAACGTGTTTTGTAACTGAGAGAAGAAAAAATAGATTGAGTTCTCGATTAATTGATTCATTGGAGTCGTTTAACGTCTGTAAAAAATTAATATTCCTCCTTTTCCTGTAAAAAAAAACATGTTCTCGAACAAGTCTCGTTTAATCATAAAAAAGCTGAGAATTAAAAGTTGAGAATTATCAAGATTGAAAAATCTCATGCTGAACACTGCAAGCGTGTCCTGAGATGATCAACCTATTGGTTATTCGACACTACCATACGTATTTAGCTCCCAAAAGGGAAATTTTTTTATCCCAAAAAAAAGTTTGATGCCATTGGAGATCCCCAGATGAAAAGTTTCTCCAGACAGCCCCAAAAATCCCCACCATTGCCTGAAGCTTCCAAGAAAAATCGATGAGTTCAGTTCGGGAAATGTCCCTGACTCTCTCCTGACACCCCCAAACCCCCAAAAAATTCCAAACACCCCCAAACACCAAACAAATAATTACCCTTTCAGGTTATCCCCAACTCCCTACACCACTCCCCCAATTCCCAAAACCCCCGTCACTCTCAATTCTTCATGCATTCTATTTCCGTACACTCGTAACATCATTATCGATTCCCTAATCACAACATCCCCCCGAATAATCGAATGGAAGCATCAAAAACCCCTCCACCCATCAAAAATTAATCACCTCCATCATCAACCGCCGGTACTGTAGTCTCCCTTGGCCCCCGGCTATCTCCACCGTTGCATTATCCCCCCTATCCTACGCCAACCCCCCTAAAAACCCCTCCCCCCAAATTCCAAAATAAACAAATAAAATAAAATTCCCAAAAAACCCCTCAACAAAAGAATAATACCACTAAAAAACGAAAATTCCGCTCAAAAATTCGAATCTTCCGCCATTGCCCACTCGACCGTTCCACTAACCCCCCGCCCCCCTCCAACCCTCTTTAAAGCCCGCCCCCAAATCACGAAACTAAAAAAAACAAAATAAAATGCCCAAAGCCCCCTAAGAAATTAATAAAAAGGCCAAAAATATAAATGTAAACCAAAAATGCCGCTGAAAAATTCGAACCTCCCGCCATTGTCCACTTGACCGTTGCACTATCCTCCCCCTCCCTCACCGCCGGCACTTAAAAACCCCTCCCCCAAATTTCGAAATTAAAAAAAAACAAAATAAAATCCCCAAAACCCCTCAAAAAATAAATAAAAAAGTCAAAAATATGAAAGTAAACCAAAAATCCCACTGAAAAATTCGAACCTCCCACCACTG